CGGGGAGACGTCTTTCGCTTTCCCCTCCCTCCCGCCACTGGGCTGCGTTCCCTGGGGCCGGCGGAGCTGATCAGAGCACAGTGCCGGCTCTGCCTGCTTCCCAATGCCGGACTGCACTCTGATCGGCTCCACCAGCCCCATGGAGTTCAGCCTGGTGGCAGGGGACAGGCAGAACTGAGGCTGTGCTCCACCTCCTGCCACCTCCAGGCTGTGCCACAGGGGCTGCAAGCCACTGGGAACCAAGCCTGATGCAGGCCTCCAGTGGGTTTCAAGTGGCAGGAACCCAGCCCGGTGCAAGCGTCCACCTGCACCAGGCTGGACTTCCAGCTGCTTGAAGTCCGATCGCTTCAATTTCCCAGCTGCTTGAAGCCTGATCGCAAGGCGGGGGAGGGAAACTGAGCTGGGCTGAGTTCCCTTCCCCAGCCCAATCAAAACATCGAAACAGCTTGAAATAGCTAAACCATTTCAACAAAATGGAACAGAACAGTGTTTTCGAAATGAAACAAAACTCAAAACAAAATACTGTTCAGTTGAAATGGATATCAAAGCAGAATGTTGCTGTTTCATACAGCCCTACAGGCAACATTAATCTTTCATTCAAACTAGGTTCCTTGGGTGAATTTGATATCTTTTATTAGACCAACCCAAATGGTTGGAGAATAGTTATTAAGCAATCTGCCTGGCAACTGACTCCCCAGCCCAGCCCCTGGCTTGTTTACTTTTCATTCCATCCAGGAAGAGCACACACCAACTGCTGCAGCTTCCTGAGCCTGACGAAGGGTTTTTGAACCCGAAAGCTTGCTTAATAACTATTCTCCAAATGATCTCTAGTATCCAGGAGGTTGATGAAATGGAGCTCATAGGCTCGTCTCTGGGCTGTGTTGTGTAAATTTCCCTTGAGGATCAGGACTGAGAGATTGAAGAGAGAGTGGCCCTCCTGTGAGAAATGTGCCCCCACCGGTAATTGGGTGTTTCTGTCTTTGATGGATTTCCGGTGTGCATTCATTCTGGTGCGCAGTTGTTGTCTGGTCTCTCCTACATATCTTCCATCAGGGCATTTGGTGCATTGGATGAGGTATACTACATTCCTGGAGGTGCAGCTGTAAGATCCTGGGATGCTGATGGCTCTGTTGTGGGGTGCAGTAATCACAAACAAGGGAACCCTGGCAGACCTATCATATCCAACCATGGGACCCTAACTGAGGAAATATCAGGTTTTGTTGAATCCATCCTAAAACCGCTTGTCACCCACAGAGCAAGTTTTGTCCAAGACACCACAGACTTGCTACGGAAACTTAAAAACATAGACCACCTTCCCAGCAACACACTCCTAGCCACCATGGATGTTACCAGCCTATACACCAACATCCCACACCAGGATGGCATCCATGCCTGCCTTACATATCTACAGGAACAAGATTACAACCCAGAATACAGACCCAAAGATATCACTGAGCTTATACACTTCATCCTCACACACAACAATTTCACTTTTAATAATCAACACTTCCTCCAGATGATGGGAACAGCTATGGGCACTAAAATGGCCCCACAGTATGCCAACCTTTTTACCTTTTTTTTTTTTTTACACACCAAAAAAGCAGTGATATACAGCCAAGCCCTCAGATACCACCGCATCTGTACTGAAGAGACCACCCGGGATTGCCACCTCACCAATCTTAAAAAGGCTTTCACCCAGCAAGGACACTCCTCCAGAGAGGTAGATCGCACGTTTGAAAGAGCCACCTGGATACCACGTGAAGAACTGCTGCAGTACAGAAGAAAAACACCCACAAATCGCACACCGCTGGTTATGACCTATCACCCATCCCTTGAACCTGTACGGAAAATCCTCAAAAAATTGCAACCCATATTAGAAAAAGACCCTATTCTTAAAAAGATCTTCCCAGAGCCACCCATCCTAGCCTTCAGACAAGCACCGAACCTCGCCAACCTCATCACCAGAAGCAAACTTCCTCAACCCCAGAACACACGAAAAGGATCCAGACCGTGCCATGACAAGAAATGCAAAACCTGCCCCCACATCTCCACCACCCCCACTATTACTACACCCCACAACAGAGCCATCAGCATCCCAGGATCTTACAGCTGCACCTCCAGGAATGTAGTATACCTCATCCAATGCACCAAATGCCCTGATGGAAGATATGTAGGAGAGACCAGACAACAACTGCGCACCCGAATGAATGCACACCGGAAATCCATCAAAGACAGAAACACCCAATTACCGGTGGGGGCACATTTCTCACAGGAGGGCCACTCTCTCTCCAATCTCTCAGTCCTGATCCTCAAGGGAAATTTACACAACACATCCCAGAGACGAGCCTATGAGCTCCATTTCATCAACCTGCTGGATACTAGAGATCAGGGACTAAACATAGACACTGGATTTTTGATGCATTATAATCTGCCTGGCAACTGACTCCCCAGCCCAGTCCAGCCCCTGGCTTGTTTGCTTTTCATTCCATCCAGGAAGAGCACACACCAACTGCTGCAGCTTCCTGAGCCTGACGAAGGGTTTTTGAACCCGAAAGCTTGCTTAATAACTATTCTCCAACCATTTGGGTTGGTCTAATAAAAGATATCAAATTCACCCAAGGAACCTTGTCTGCCTATATCCTTAGACCAACACGGCTACAACCTAAACCCCTGCATCATTCAAACTAAGTACTTTGAAATGCATTGGGCCTTAGCTTGTAAAATTTCACTTGCTCTGCTTAATTAACCAATGCAACTGAAATCTGTGTGTGAGCCACAGAACCTAAGTACCTTTCCTGGCTGCCGTCAACTTGCTTTCTGGTGATATATGCTTTTCAAAGTAAGGTGTTGCCTTCCGAAGTTCTCTTCCCAATCTCACTAGATATAGTGAAAGACACAAAGAGGAAGAATTACTTCCTATTTCAGCATTTGAAAGCATGTCACATTAATGAGTATATGTTTGCAGATTCATAACACTGCATTCTCTAATTTTACACTGGTGTAACTCTGTTGGAATCTGTGGATTGATGTTTGTATACACAGGATTAGTACAAAGCTCTCAGTGGCTCTGAACTCAGCCAAATGTTCAAACCCTTGATACTGTTCCAGATGAGATAATGACACAGAGCCATCTAAAATTTCAGTATTTTTGTGTTGGTATTTGTTAATATTTTAAAAGGAAATGCAACCAAAACAGATTTTTCATAATCAAAACAATTTGGCTCCTGTCCCTCCCCTCCAAATAGGCAGCTACAGAATATCATGCTTTTGCTTTTCTTCTTAAATGCACTGTTCCAGGTTGAAGCTTAAACTGTGAAGCAAATATGTATGTTAACATTCATAGTAATCACATGAACTTTAAACCTCATTTGTTGTTCAAGATGCATCCAGTGCTTCTTTCTGTGGATGTTCTTACTTCTTCATTTCATTAGCACTTACACAGACTAATAATACAATTATATAAAAATAGAAGCAAGACTAAATTATAATGTACATTCCTTAATCTGGAATTTTTGCCTTTCTATCTAAATTTGCATGCATGAGAGTAAATGATATTTTCAATTACTTATAGTTTTTTTTTTATAATCATTTTTGTATAGGACTTCATGTTTTTTATGTAATCATTTAATGTGTAGGATTGGATGCACTCATAACTGTTACTCTCGAAAGAGCCTCTAATTCTGAAAAACTTCAATACATTGAATTTGGAAAAGGATATAAACATAGAACTATTTTAGATATTGGCATGACAGATACGGCCAGCCAGCTCTCCAAGTACTTGGTAAGTTATTCCATAAAGGATCAACATACATGATTAAATCTTTGGTTCAGGGTGTACAGTGTCATATACCATTTATTTTTAATAAGGCACATTATTAATACTAACATAAGATTCATGTTAAAGCAATATGGTCCTTTCCTGCTCCTGTTGAAGTAAATAGTAAAAATCCCCTCTCATTTCAACTGGGGGCATATGAGAATTTTTAGCAAATAAAATTTCACCTGATGTAACTTCTTTTCAAGGCCAATATTGCTGAAAGAACATGCTGCTGTGTGTCTTGCAAGTGTGTTGGGGAAGAAGGTGATAAGGGATCTCGAGGAAAACAAGGGATAAAGGTAAGAATAAAACTGCTTTACCAATTTGATTGTCATTTTAAGGATGGGCCACGTGCATCTGGAGAAATTAAAGTGTTGGGGAGACTCCAATAGTTTTGTTATTACCTATTTATGGAAGAAGTGTACTAAAACTATAGCAGGACTGGATTTTGGCTACTACTTTACGGGGTCTTTTCCCTGTGGCTAATTGCCAGAAATGAAACTGATGCTTTGTTTTGAATGCAGAAATGTTTGAAGAATCATTAGAAAAAATTGTTTCTGAGAATACAGGAAGTTCTCATTCTTAACTGTCATACAGCATTAGCAATCCATTAGTCATGGGGTGGGAAAAATACAGCTTGCGGGCTAGATCTGGCCCACCAGGCCATTCTATCCAGCCCATGGGACTCCTAAAATTTTAGAAAAAGTATATTTATCTGCTCCTGGCTGCCTGTCAAAGATGATAGGAGTCAGGGGCAGTAGGACCCAGGGGGAGCCAGCAGGAGCCAGCAACAAGGCCAGCTCTGTCCCACCCCTCTCACCCCCATCTCCCCAACTGGAAGTCACTGCCTGCCACAGATTTTGGGCTGCTCTAGCACCCGCAGGAGCACAGGGCCACACTGGTACCCCAGGGCCAGGAGCGGGAGGGAGGGAGGGAGGGAGGGTGGATATGTGTGTGTGTGTGCGTGCGTGTGCGCGAGAAAGAGAGAGAGAGAGAGTGTCTGTGTGTTTATAGGACAAGTTGCACACACACACCCCACCATACACATACACCGACACCAGGAGATGATCCGAGCAGGGTATGGGGCCCAGGGCAAATCAGCCTGTGTGAGGCCCCACCCTCGCCCTGATCCCGATGCCCCAGATGCAAAGAAGCCGCCAGTGGCAGCAGCTGTCAAGTGGTGGGGCTACCAATGTGGCCCTTGACAGCTCGCCAAAACTCAGTAAGTGGCCCTCCACCCGAAATAAGTGCCTGCCCTTGCATTAGTCACTAGCAATGCCAAGGGTACCCAAGAAGAGCTTCTGAAGTGGAAGAAAAAAATTGGAGCAGAACCTGTCAATGAAATGAAGATATGTTTCCTTCGCAAATCAACAAAATTTTCAGTGTCTCAAACATGAAATGGGCAGTTGAGATCTTTATGGTTCCTATTCAGGCCTCCTTCTTTTGATCTACTGTGCCCTCTGTGATCTGTTATCTCAGGAAGGCTCAAGCTAAGATGCATATCTTATTGCATTCATGGATAATATATCAGTTGTCACACACACACACACACACACACACCATGAGTGCAATAAGATACGTTCTTTCCATTAGGAAGAACAACAACATAGGGCCTGTTGGTAAGATCCTATGAAGACAGACTGAGGAAGGCTGAGAGGTGATCTTGTGGCTGCCTACAAACTCATCGCGGGGGAGGTGGCGATCAGCAGGGAATAGGGGATACTTTGTTTACCAGGGTGCCCCTTGGGGTTACTGGAAACAACAGCCATAAACTGAAGGACATTAGGTTTAGATTGGAGATCAGGAAGAAATTCTTTACGGTGAGGCATGCCAAAATATGAAATGGGCTTCCAAGGGAGGTGGTGCTTTCCCCTACCTTGGAGGGGTTCAAAAGGAGATTAGACAAGCACCTGGCTAGGGTTACTTGACCGCAGTGCTCTTTCCTACCCAGAGCAGGGGGTCAGACTTGATGATCTCTAATAGGTCCCTTCCGACCCTAGAAATCTATGAAATTTATGAAACAAGCCACTCATAATTAGTCAAATGTTGGAAAGGATTTATACACACTAGTTACTCCAATACAGGCATGGTCCTGGCCATATTTTTGAGTTCATAGTACAATTTGCAAAGATCCAAAAGAACTTCCTTGAATCAGCCGTTTCTTGCCAGTGGTGCTGTAAAGCCAGTTTTCTCCAGTGCTTGAAATTTGCTCGTCAATCAGTGTTTTCCCTTGAGTGGGATTTCTCAAACTGCGCCTCCAGAAATTCAATGACAGAACACTGAGCCAGTTATTCAATACAGTATGAATTGAGGTGTCAGTCCATTTGTGAACAGGTAAGTACCTGGAATACATTTAAAGCCAACTCGACTTTCACTCTGGGCTTTTGTAGACTCATTTTTGGAAGCAAGCTTCACAGTTCACTTTGACAGCTCAATCATGCAAAGGGACTTGGCCACAGGCATTGTCCACTGATTCCAACATTATATTTATATTATTAATTGCAGCTTTGGAAGAAGATATAAGAAGCCATGTCATAATATACAAACAAGAGTACTCCTCCTATGTCCTGTCAGAGGAAAACCAAACATTTGCTTTATTTAAATTTTCTGTAACATAGGGAGTACCCAAAGGTTTGAGTTTCTTAGTGGTAATAAAACAGTTGTCAGAAAATCTGCTGTTTTCAAAGAAAATCCATCTTCAATATACACAGAAAGAAGATTAGAAAGTTGAAGTCCTCCACCTAGTTTCTCACTTGGAGTTCATATACAGCCAAGTAACTTCTGTGTCACCTTCAGAAAAGACCAGAACCGTGAAAATGGGGGTTCTTCTGTCTTCTGGATCTCTATCACATGCACCAAATTGGGCATCAAGAGAAAACTATAGTTGGATACAGATCCTCCATTATGCTATATTCATCTTATTGCACATGAAATACCACGGCCTCAAGACCTCAAAGTTATCTCATATATATAGAAAGTTCCTTCAGATAGAGAAGTGCCTTAGCCTGAACTAAGATATAGAGTTTTGTTTTCTTAAAATATTTAATCAGTGGCTGGCATAATCTGATGATTTTGGAAGAACTTCCCCAGCTGAGCTGGAGGCAGGAGTGTTAGGACACTTACTCAAGCCAACGGCAAAAGCATTGGCTCACCTACAGATTTCACAGGTTAAGAGGCATTGCCCATTAGTGATGAATGCATAGAAAATCTGCTAACAGAACAATTATCAGGTAAGACATTTCTCATTTGTCAAGGTTTTGAAGTACAGAGAAGGCAAAAGGAAGGAATATGTAGGCAGAATTGTACTGGTCTTTTATGAATTCTCATTACAGTTACATAAGTCCAAACAAGCAAACTTAAGTATTCATTTTGTTCTTGCTTTTCTCTTCATTTCAGGGACCTCGAGGTGCAAGCGGACACCTGGGATATTTAGGAGATGATGGGGAGCCGGTAAGCTTAAAGCACTTTAGTTTTTACTAGGAAAAATACATGAAAACTCAACGCTCTATTAGCATATGTAAATTGACATAGCTCCCTAAAATTCAGTTCACATCTCCTCTATCTTTCAGGGTCCAAGAGGACCTTCTGGACTGGTGGGAAGACAAGGCAATACGGGATGTCCAGGTACAAGAGGTTTCAAGGTAAAACTGCAAGTGTAATTTTAACTTACAGTAAAATGTTTTCTTTATCTTTTTGTTTTGTTTTGTTTTGCCTACTTATTTAACAGATATTTGTTATTTTCATTCATTTCAGGGATTTCGAGGAATCAGTGGGCATAAGGTATAGTAAAATGTTATTTATTTATTTATTGTTTACTTAATTTGGAAAGAAAAAATATGACTTCAAACTGAAGTATCACTTCTGATTTCCAGATGGCATTTCTTTTCTAGGACTACATATTATAAACATTGCTTGTGCTTGACTCTGAGTTCACTGGTCAGCGTAGGCGTCTATTTGGTCCCTAAAAGACATCAAATAGAATGGAGCTTCAAAGAAAAAGTAATTGGTAAATGCAGTATTTTAGGGCTTTATTCTCCTTGTGCTCAAGTTCTTGAAAGTTTGCCAAAAGCTTCAATGGGCACAGTATTGGTTTGTTGTTCCTTTTTAACTTATTTTGAAAATCACTGTGGTGGTATGCCCATTTTACGTTCATGTGTAAGACAAATGTAAAAAATGAAACAGCAGGCATTAATTCATACATTCTTAAATTTATGTTTGACTTCTCTGTCAGTTGGACTATACACCTGAAATGATTATTTGTGAATGAGACTCATTCATACCTATTTTTGTCATCTCAGGGATCCAGTGGTGATGATGGGATTGGTGGAATTCAAGGAGAAGAGGTGAACCCTTTTTTTTTTCTTGTATTATGTTGACATCAACTTAAATTCTGAAATAAAATAATAAAAGAATTAAAATATAAATAATTAATATTAATTTCTTTTTATCTTTAAGGGTGATCCTGGACTTTCAGGAAACAAAGGAGAAAAGGGTGACTTAGGCTATCCGGTAATGTGTTATATTTTCTTATTTGATCAGGGTTTGGTTTCAGAATAATAAATCTGCATATTACATGGAAATGTTAAATTACCACTTGAACACAGGGAGTGGCTTACTATCACAAAATTACGAATCTGTTTTGACTTGGGTCAACATGGTTTAGTCACAATTTCTGCTTCATCAGAAGTAGGATTGCCTCCCTCTTTGTGGTTGACAGGGTCTTTTTTCAGTAGTAAATACCCAAGTATATTTCTTGATAGGACATTTTATTTGAAAAATGATTAAATGAACCATGTATTGTACAGGATTCAACATTCTTGCATATATTTCTTAAACTCAAGTTGCTCCTTAAGGGCTAGCATTAATTTATAGTAGACATGCATTAACAATTCCTGATTCATAGAGCAAAACCCTGGAATGAATGTTAGTAATTAAGGAGTTGAGCTGAACTTCATTGGAAGGAGCAATGCTTTTGAGTTAATTTGTCCTTCCTCTGCAGGATTTAGAAAAAGTGCTTTCACAAAATTTATTATCCATTTTCCATGCCTTGAACAACTTTCAGTTCCCTTGGTAAGGGTTTTTTTGTATGTTGGCTGTTTAGATTGTCTCCCCTCTTTCTGCTACATGTGTCAGGGTGTTTTTAAGCCCTCCACAGAAGCATTGCGTGTTGGCTACAGCTAAGGCTAGGGACTTTGACTGATGTGTGCCATTGCTCCTGCTGGAACCAAAGCAGGATGTTCCTAGCTGGAGGAACTTGGCCCATCATTCAGGGTCAGACCGATCTCCATTTTTGGGATCAGGAAGGAATTTTCCATCATGGACTTACTAGTAGAAAGTGTGGGGGGGTTGCCTTCCTGTGTAGTGAGGGGCATGGCCCTCTATGTGGGATCTCTTGAGCATATATTGACAGCATGTCATAAAAGCAGGACGTTGGCTGCCATGGTTCCCTTACTTTATCTGTGTCAAGTTAAGGTGTTAGGTTTGTGTTGTGTCAAGGTTTAAGGTAGTCTTAGGTAGAGTTTAGTTATGGATTATATAGGATAGTTTGGATAGGGATGATCCTACCTTAGGTACGAGGTTGGACTCGATAACCTCTGGATGTCCCTTCCAGCCCTACTTCTCTATTATTCTATGAGTATGTGAAATGCATGGCATTTGAGCTGCACTTTAGCCTTGGGGAAAGATGACAGAGTAATTTGCTCTAAGTAATCTTTTCCCCTCTACAAAAATACCTTGCCATTCTTATAGTAGGTAACTGAGGAATTTTACTCTTGGAACACTAGTTAAGCACAGAAACTCATGAATTCAACCAACTAAATGCTTTCTCTGGAAAGCTAAGATGTTTAAATAATGAAAAGGGCTTGCATAAAGAGATCACAGAGAAAAAGCATAGTTCTTTGGAATCGATGTATTTAGCCCACATTCTTGTGGTTGAATGATTTAAACAGGCATAAGGGTTCATCCATGCAATTTTTAGTCCAGGGTAACAACTTGAAGAAAAACAATACAGGGTCTTTCAGGCCACTTATTGTGAATTTTAAATCCTTAACCCTTCCCCTTCCCCTCCAACAGAAAAAGCACTTTTCAGATTCTTACTTCATTTTATGATTTCAGGGCAGTACAGGACCAAGAGGACCCCCTGGTGAACGTGGACCAAAGGGCTTTCAAGGAGATTCTGTAAGCTTTTTCCAGATGCAATATAGTTGCAACCTAGTTCTTTGCAAATTAGTTTTTAAAGATATTGCTCATTTATTAACTTGTATACCCTTCTGTCTGGCAGCTTGAATGAAGACATACTTTTAACTGTCTTTAAAATGTGCAGCACTATATGTGGGATTCCTAATGCTTAATCTTGTTATATGAACCCTTCACATATTAAACTTTTTTTCCTTTTTTAACAAAAAATGTCCCACAAGTTTAAAATATTTAGTACTTCATTTTTCTCTCAATATGTACTCACTAGAGAGGGCTCCAATGATCAATAAAAAGAATTTTCTGCTTTGGCTAAAGGCAGATTAAGAAGACGATCATCATGTTTGTTCATCCAACATAATAAAGCACTTGCAAGATGTCATATCAGATTATCTTTGTAAAAAGAACAAATACCATTACCAGCTAACTGCATAGTATTTCTTTTCTTTTTCTTCTTTCTTAAGGGAAATCCTGGATTGATTAGTGAGATAAAAGGATCTAAAGGCATAAAAGGAGACCAAGGAAAAGCGGTGACTATTTAGTATTTTTTGCATTTCTATATCAATGGTTTATTTTACATATGCTAACCTACAGTATTTTAATTTTTTTTTCTAATAAAGAAATACGTCATGTAGTCCAACCCCATGCCCAAGGTAGGATCAACCCCAGTGTAGATCCAACCTGGATTTAAAAACTTCCAGTGGTGTAGAGTCCAGAACCACTCTCAGCAATAGGTTCTGGCTCTTACTCCCTCCCACCTCACTATCCTTCCTCCTAGCCAGAAAGTACTTCCTGATATCCAACCTAAATTTTCCTTGTTGTGATTTAAGGCTGTTGCTATTTGTCCTGTTCCCCATGGCCACAAAGAATACTCTGTCACCATCCTCTCTATACTACCCTAAATATACTGGGGATGAAGTTTTCTATTGTGTACCATGCTACATATTAGCGTAGAATCATGTACCAAACCCACAAATCACTGGCAAAGCTATTGACTCACTCCAAATCCACAGATCAATGGAGATAATTTAAAATTATTTTAAAGATAATTCATGCAAAATTCTCACTGGACTCAAAGGAAATTTTGCATCCAAAAGAAATGAACGTTTATACCTTCAGTATTTCTGAAGGTGTCATAGATTCAATCCCTTTTTATATAGAAGGTATGGCTTGGTTCATAAAGTTTGATTTAAAGATGCTAAGAATGGTTATGGTGGGGATTTCTTTCTAAATTCAGTCTCTTCACAAGCATATGCCAGGACAGTTTAGAACTGTGGAAGCAGTAAGGCTGTTACCTCATGTTACTAGCTAGCATGGTTTCATCCATTGTAATCTCTGTAATGATTGCTTTTATATAATGCTTTCCACCAGTGGGTCTGAAAGTACCATAAAAGAGGACAGTGCCATTATACCTGTTTTGCAGATGGGGAAATTGAGACATAATGGGGGCTAGAGAAATAGCTAAGCTTACACAATAGGGGCTGTTAAGGAGCCAAGAAAGGAACTTCCGTGTCTGGAGTCCTAGTCTACCTGCCAGGATATATTATAACTCCGTGAAAGTCACCATAACTGTGTTGATGGATATTTATAGAGTGTTACTAAGCAGTAGGTAAGATATTTACTACTTATTTTGATGATCACATTTTGTAAAACAGGCCACACCAGAAAGGTTTTGACAAAAAAATGCTATACAGCAGAAGTCACAAAGCTAGCATTTAATGGTTCTGTTCTTTATTCTGATCAAGTGGTAATGTTTTGATCTGATGGATGGATGGATATATGGGAAAAAGTGACACAATATAGCAGCATTTGAGAGATAACATGAAATTAAATGTCGTATTTACAGGGTGAAAGAGGACCAGTGGGATCACCAGGCTTGCCGGGATCTGGGAACTTCATAGTAAGAACCTACATAGCCAAAGACACTGGACATGCAACCTGAGGCTTCATACAAAGGAAATGCCCAACTATGGTCGAACACAGAGTATTTTGTACCTTGCCTCTCACTCTCCTTTCCAAAAGCCATCTAAAAGAAGATGAAATAAACAGATCTCAGATAGACTGCCCTGAAAGTATTAACAACAACATCGGCAGCATTTGGTTTCATAAGGATACTTTCCTTCTGACCAGAAGTTTCATATGGATTGCCAACATGAACGATTAACAATCCAGATGAAAAGATTAGGGGAAAATAAGCTTTAATAGCAAAGCTTAAATTATAGACATGTATCCAGTGCTGTCTGAACAAAACTGCAGACAGGAATAGTCCTTAATGACTCAAATAGTTCCTGAGACTTCAGAGGAATGTCACTTATCCTCAAAACAGGGCTAAGGTAGGATTTCCATGTAATGCAGGCTTTGTACTAGTTATCAACACAGGGTTGAATTTCATACTGTAGATAAGGGCTGTCCAAAAGTTAAACCCATTTAGTGAAGAAGGAGAGCAAACAACAGTGACACCAGAAAGTGCCTTCTTTGCTTCAAGTCTTCACAAAACCAGCTTGACCAGATACTTAAATTAAATTAATTTAAGTGGGGGGAGGAAGGGGACAGACCATGGGCCTGTATAGGAAACCCCTAGGTTAAAGAATATTTAAATGGACTGGATATATTCAAGTCAGCAGTATTTTCTGAAATCTATCAGCGTGCTTAAAGAACTAACTGAAGCAATTTCTAAACCATTAGCAATTATCTCTGAAAACACCTGAAGGATGGAGGCAGGTCTCAGAAGACAAGAGAAAGGCAAACATAGTTTCTCGTTTTAAAAAGGGGGAAAACAGAGCAGTCCTCCTGACTATAATGCCTGGAAAAATGCTGGAATGACTTATTGAACAATAAATGTATAGGCATCCAGAGGATAATATGGTGATAAGAAATACTTAACATTTTCTTTTTCAAGTCATATCAGAGAGATCAAATTTCTTTTTTTGACATGGTACCTGATTTAATGGAAAAAGGGGAAGGAATAGATGTAACATAGCTTGACTTTCATAAGGGTTTTGGTCTTGTCCCTCATGACATTTTTATAAGAGAAGTAGGGGGAAATGGGCTAGAGAAAATCACTATATAGTGGGAGCACACCACAGTATAGTCAAGTCTCATGATTTTTGGTGTTGTTCTTAAAGTCTGTGCTTCAGAAATGTGAAAAACTTAGCTCTTTCTTTTGTGTGTGTGTGTGTGTGTGTGTATATATATATATATATATATATATAAAAAATAAAAGCATAGACGTGTGTGTGTGTGTGTGTGTGTGTGTGTGTGTGTGTGTGTGTGTGTGTGTGTGTGTGTGTGTATATACACACACACATATACACATATGGAAGAGATAAGTCTTTCACAGTCTCGAAGTGTAGACTTTAAGAACAACGCTAAAAATCATGAGAGATAACAATACTGACAAGGTAGCCAAAGGAATTGGCAATGTTGGACTGTCAAAGTGGGATAGTACTTCAAGTGGAGTCTCACTTGGGTCTGTCTCAGGGTCCCAGTCTACTCAATATTTTCTTAATGATTTGGATGTTTGGATAGAAGATACACAAGTAAAATGTATAAGAGGGGTGGCAAACACCTTGGGGGCAGGATCAGTATTGAACTCCAGTTTGAGAAGTGGGCAGGGGACTTTCAAATGGCATATTGGCTCAAGGATGCAATTGCATCCAGCAATTGTTCTAATCAGATGTCAACCAATTTGATCTTGAAATGTTGGAAGACTCCCATAAAAAATAATAAGGGATATTTAACCTTTGGTCATCTTTGTCCTTGATTATTACTATATATCATACATAGCAAAATAAATATACATATGTTTCTGTAAATTGTTGGAATATCCAGAGTTATATTCATACTTGTGAAGTGCTCAGACTTGGCTCCAGCATAGACAGTAGCACCCACATCACTCATGTCCAGATGGTTCACAACTCACTCAGTTAGCAGCAGATTACCAAGTTAAAGAAAAGCCATTCAGTAATTGCTATGGCTTTTACATCAAAGCGAGTTGCTTCTTCATGCAGCTGAAACTCATCAGTGATCCCACACAGCTGATTGGAAAAGTGGCCCCCTATTCCACACAGGTGGGAGCTGCAGCTATCCATAACCCCTGGCTTTTTCACAAACAACCCTGCAAAATATCTGGATTCTGCTGCACACACTTAATTGTACCCATTTATCTAAAGCTTTGTAGGGGGAAAGATTAAGTGTCATCTCTTAATGGAACTGAAATAAGAGCTTCCTAGGATCTAACACATTTTCTAATAAGCAACCATCTTGCTTTGTCTTAGGGAGCAACAGGTCTAAGAGGACAACCAGGACCAGAGGTAAGCTACAGTAATCTTTTATACTGGGGTTGTGGTCTATGACTTTTTTAAGTGTTTTGAAACAGAAATGAAATCAAGCTTAAAGTACGTCTGCTCTAGTAACAGTAGAGTCTGAGAAGCAAATTCCCTTACTCATGTGATCAGTCTCTGTGATTGAACTAGCACTAGTACGTATATGAATAAGGGAAGTAGGACCCTGGATTCCTCTCATAGGTATCCAAACTATTGCATTGTACACTAATTCAGAACTGATGAAAGATTATTAATAAGAACCAGTTTGTTCAGGACACTGTCAAGCAGAGTAACTGTTACAAAACCTACTGCCAGCAAAGATATTTCCATTGTTTTCTTAATTGCACTGACACCCTGGGGACGAGGATGGCCTCACTGATCTTTATTGTCTGAGCTGAAAAGCATGCAGATTATAAATGAACAGCATATGTAGTGTCAAACGGTAGTTAGTTGTGTTAGTTTGAAGTCAGGCAAAAGGCGGGGTAGAGATGCATCCTATAGACCAGGGGTGTCAAACTCATCCTGCCCTAAAGGCTAGATGGGTGGTGTGGGGCCAGTCCACAGGCCAGACTGGATTCACAGGGCAGCCCTGCATGCTGGATCCAACATGCGTCCTGGAATGGCCAGAGTAGATGCTGTGGGGGACACTAGGGCCATGCTGCATGGGATGACAGCTGGAGCAGGCGCTGTGTGTGGGGCCACCCAGTATGCCCCACATGCTGCCTGTGGGTCAGCTCTGAGGCCCAGAGTCAGCACTGGTGGCTGGGGGGTAGGGCTGTGGGGGCTGGATCTGGACCATGTGCCAGATCTTTGCCACCTCTGTCATAGACTAACTAAATCAGAGATGCCTAGGATTTTGTGAGCCTGAGCTCACTTCATCAGAAGGGTTGTTAGGTGTTGATGAAGTGAGCTTGGGCTCACAGAAGATTATTCATCTCTGAGTAATGAAAAGCAACCTGGATTTAAAAAAATCTTTCTATTTTCATAATCTCAGGTGATCATGTGAAGAAATATGTGATTCAGTGTCTGATTTGAATTCAACAATGGCAATTCATATTTGCTCTCAAAACAATAAGGGATACAGTTATATACACTGGCCTCTGTATAGATGAACACACAATGGCACATCTACACCTGAACTTTGCAGGAGTATATATGCACGTGTGATTTTTATACTGTTGTAGTGTGATGACTACAGGAATGAATTTCAGCATTTTCACAGACAAGTGTTTTATTGTTAATGGCATGTATACAAGTACTAGCACATGAAAAATTCAGGTGCATATATTATTCTGACAACAGTAGACCCGAGAAAAGCCCTTTTAAATGTGGGGCTGAGCAGATAATTCCTAATGAGTAAGTTGTTAGGTGATTTTTTTTACCCCTCTTTCAAGCTGCCCAATGATGCTTGAAGATGCTAGTTGCTATTGCCATCTAGTATTGAAATTCTTTAAATAATTTTTGATCTGTTGAATCGCTGTCCAGTTCATGATGCGTATTCAAGTGTTTAATTTTTAGCTGTTTGCCTCCGCAGGTCATTTTGGTATTTCTGCTAGCTCCATGAGCATAAGTCTTTTGAAACTCTTCTGCAAATATGCATTGTTAATATTGCTTAATGAGAGGTTAATGCCAAAAAAGCAATGCTTTTAAATTAGAAAGTATAAAATGGGTCTTGTAGTGAATCAGTCATCACTGTTGCATATGAAAATCTTTAAAAGATGTTGCCTCTTATTACAGGGTGGGAAAGGAACTCCTGGTCAGAAAGGTGTCCAAGGAGAGCAAGGATTCAAAGGACCTCAGGTGAACATTAATTTTCCTCATGGGATTTTTGAGAGGCTGGAGGATTTGAAATATTGAAGAGAACTAAGAATCTATCTGAGAGTTAATAGACCTGGGGTATTGATTCCAGATGAGACCCTTTCTGGGAGTGAATTTCGTAGGGCTATTTTTAGAGCACTTACAGCAGTAGCTTGAGATGGGTGTACTACAGAGTAAAGTTCCTTGCATTAAACACACCCCTTTCTTAACTGAAACAATACTGGTTTACCCCTGTGCCTCTGAGCAAAATGGTGACCCCACCAGAGCTGATTGTCAGCCAAATATTCTAGGTAATTGTATAAGTATCTTGGATCCATTATAAACATGGGGATCAACTGACTCTTGCAAGTGAAGGTGATTGCAAACTGTTAACCCCTTTTGCCAGTGAATTCAACAGCTACAAAGTAGAGGTTTACCCCCAGAAGAGCAATAGCATCCCTATCTTCCTGTAAGTCTTCTACCAGGGAGGGAGCCTTTTAAAATTCTGTCTCAGGTACCCAAGGAGGTTTATGGGTGAATATCACCTGGGATAAGCATGTTTTGACACACTGGTCTTATCCCTGCCCTTTTCAGATTGGCTGTACCCAGTCTGGGATTTGTTGTGACCAACTGCAGGACCTTTTAGCAGAAAGGGGTTTATTCCTTACAGACTTCTTAAATCAAGGACCCAGAATCTGGAGTCGATTGGACGAAGTAAACAGACAAAATCAAAACCAAGACCCAGAGATGTTTATGGATTCATTTCCAGCCCATTATTCTTAGTTTATAAAATTGTGTTTGTTTAGCTTGATTAGTGTACTTAGAGATGCTTAAATCTTCCTTCCTTCCATCAATCTTCCTATTCCTTCCCAGAAATATTCTTGGCTGAAGCAACAAATTTCTGAAACTCTGTCACCTCTGATTTCTTACTACATTCTGAATACAGATGTGATTTTTTTTTTCTTTTTTTACTCAAAACAGCTTACTGTGGGATCTTTACATGGCTTATAGAAGTTGAGCCAAATTTAGATCTCTTTATGAGTGAGAGTACTCAGCTGATCTCAGTGCCCTGGGAGTTATGGCTGTGCAAAAAATGCAGGATCATACTTTAGCTGTGGGTGCTTTATTTGGCTGGTTGGTTTTCCTTCATATGCTTTTGTATATTTCCTTCATATCTTTTTCATATATGTGTGTGGTTTTAATGGGGGATCATAGTAGTAACAAGGATTTTTGCTGCATTCCCAAAACCTTGTAAGAAGAAAGGTTTTTTAAAAGATGATCGAATGGAGGATTCTTGTAACTGTCAAGAACAGAATCATCATAGGTGTGGTCATGAGTGTCAGTTGCACGCTGGGAGAGAGATAAGAGTTCAAACTGATGTGATGCTGGGTATCCGCAATGCTCATTGAAATGAATGATTATAGATAGATGAACAATTTACTGTGAGGCAACAGTGTCAGAACTCCACTGGGCATCAGCTGCTCCTTGATGACTATCCAGATGCACACGTCTACCTGCGGTCACTGCAGCTCAGGCAGCATAACTTCCCCCTATTTCCATGAGGACTTAGCTAACATGGTTTAACTTCCATTTACCAAGGGGTAAGAGCATTTGCACACAAAGTTACAGGGGCGCAGCTGATATGAAAAAACCCTGTTATGTTGTGATAAGTGTTTCATTCAGCTGCCAAATGAAAGTAGAAAGTGTCAGTTGTTGTTCAGGACTACTCAGCAATTTATAGGATTAAGTCCTTAAAAAAAAAAGCTGACTAGTTGTCCTGGCTCCTGTCTGCTTTTGGAATGGGGCCAATGAGTTCAATGAGCAAAAATCCTGGATAGAAATGCTATGAAAAAATTGGGTTTTTTGATGAAAAACAGAAAGACAGGATTAATGTCCTTGGAGCATCTCCTGTTTGCATCACTGATTCTTAGTTCATATTAACAAACCATGGAGTATAGTCATAATTAAAGAAAATTCCATTTGAGGTTTGAAAATTGTGCTAAATGCATGCTTTCTTGAACCACTAACACACTTGACCCTTGTAAAAAAGTATCAGATTTTGCCAAGCAGAACGAAGCCTTACATGAATTTCTGTGATTGCTTCTAGATGCCAGATCCAATTAATTTTAAATCTTCAGGGATCGTTCCCAAGATCTGTGGGCAGAACCCAGTTGATATTGTGAAAATCAGAAAACCAGAAATGGGAGGCAGAGGCAGAATCTCTTGCATCTAGTTAGCAGAGACAGCAGTCTTAATCCTCGCTGTAATTGTCTGTAGGTAAAGAAAGGGTTGATGGCAGTCTGTAACACATTACAGCCTAACAATACCACTCATCTCCATGCTGTCCAACATGGTTTAGCTTGCTGACACTTGGAACAACTTTTCTCCCAGACAGAAAGAAAAATGAGAATAGTGGGGAGAAATGGAAATGTGTGTGCATACAGAGCCCCTGGCATGGCGAGTAAGTGGAGAATGGAAGGTATAGTGGGAAAGGAAGAATGAAAGAACCCATACAGGGCAGAAAATGGATGCAAATGGAAGTGGAGAAAAATGAAGAATGATTCAATTAGTGCATGAGAAATGTAGAGGGGTGGGATGCAGAGCATTGCTGAAGGAGAGGGGATAGGACACTGTGGATTATTTGAAATCTCTGGATTTTTCTTGTGAATCATGTTTGCATACCTCACAGTGGATGGCAGCCTTGAAAGGATCTCATGTCACCCCAGAGTGCGACAGCACCCTGGTTGAGAGTCACTGGTCCACACCATAGCACACAGTGTAGCTTAGAAGATACCTGAGCTAGCTCAGATACTGGTAGCAGGCTAGCCTCCAGAGCAGGGGTGGGCAAAATACAGCCCACGGGCCAAAACTGGCCCACCAAGCCATTCTGTCTGGCCCACGGGACCCCTAAAAAATTTAGGAAATGTATACTACCTGTCAAAGAGGACAGGAGCCAGGGGCAGTAGGATCCAGGGGGAGCTGGCAGGAGCCAGCAACATGGCCAGCCTGGCCCTGCCCCACCCCCTTTCACTGCTGTCCCCCCAACTGGAAGTCTCTGCCTGCCACTGCTTTTGGGCTGCTCCAGCACCATGTGGCTGCATCGCCAGACTGTGGGAGCACAGAGTCATGCTGGTATCCCAGGGCCAGGAGTAAAAGGGAGGGAGGGAGGGAGGGGATGTGTGTGTGTGTGTGTCCATCCATGTGGGGAGGGGGAGAGAGAGACAAAGAGCAATGAGGGAGGGAGATACTGTGTGTGTGTGTGTGCATACACATGTGTGAGAGAGAGAGTGTTCATAGGGCAAGTCCCACATGCACACCCCACCATACACGTACGTCCACACCCAGAGACAACCTGAGCAGGGTGCGGGGCCCAAGGCAAATCAGCCTGCGTGGGGCCCCACCCCATCCCTGCCCTGATCCTGCACACCCCGGATGCAAACAAGCAGTGGTGGTGGGGCAGGGGGGTGGATGGTGAGCAGCCAGACATGAAGCCAGATGTGGCGGTGTGGAGTCACCATGGATGCTTTGCCCACCTCCACCAGGTCCCCCAAAGTGCAGGGCTTGGGGCAGTCGCTCCAATTTGCCACCCTCTAAGGACAGCCCTACCCACACCCCCCCTCGCACTGCCATACACAGAGATGCCCACACCCCCTCACACACCCCAGCCACCCTTTTCCCACACACAGTCCCCCACAAACCCCATACCCACCCACACCCTACATAACCACACACTAACAGACCCCCGCAATCATATCCCCACATCCCCCCCCACAATATACAAGAGTAAGACCTAATTGTAAGCTATTGTGCAACCACCTCTGTGTACACTACACAAACGCATGTAAATCAGGAGAAAAAGATTTTTTGAAATCAAATTAATGAATATTGTAGATGTTTGATTTTTAGAATATAATTTGGTATTTTTCTGGTTCTGAGATGGCAAAACAAGGGGGCAAAGAGAGGGACATTTGGTGGCAAAGGTCAGAGGTTAGGGGGCGGGACTTGTCACAAGATGGTGACTGGGAGGTGTGGCACCTGTCAAGGAGTGGGACTACCAGTGCAGCCCTCGACAGCTTGCCAAAACTTAGTAAGTGGCCCTCCACTTGAAATAATTGCCTGTCCCTGCTCTAGAGTGTGGTCAGTGTGGACTAGCTTACCCTCTTTGTGGACTGGTACATGAGCTCACAAAGCTCTGGGCTGCTCTGACTAGACCTTGACTGGTATCTGAGCTGAACTAGTTTGTTCACATCTCACATGAGTACCTCTATGCTGGGCTGTGATCTGGTCTTCAGATGTAGCCTGATTGTAACTGGGGCTCTCACTAATCTACTCAGTCTCACTGGCCATTGCTCTTATTGAGTAGCACCTTTCTCTACAAGCAGTGCCAGTAACTCTAGTGTGAGTAAGGGTATCAACCTCTGACCTCTAATTCATGGGACAGTCTGAGTACCCATGACTGCCTCACTGGGCTTAAGAGAAGATCCTCCTCCCATATTCATAGGAGGAGACCAACAGACCCAATGCAGTTCTGCTGAATGAAAAGAGCGCAATTTGGAAAGGGAAGGGATGATTCCTCTGGAGCATGAAACACCTTGTGCCTCATTATAAAGTGGGAGGCAGAGGCATGATTCACTGATTCCCTGAGCCTTTCTTCTCTGTGAGATAAAGTAAGCTAGAGTGGCGGTGACTGTGCCACTCCATGGAGTGACTTTGTCAAGGAAAGGTGTTTTGGTCCTTCCCCCTGCTTCCCAGCTGGGTTATGGTTGTGTTCTTAGATTTCCCTGCATTTCTACAGTAGGAGTAACACCTAAATTAGAGGGTTGTGGGTATTTACTCCGTTATTCACTGTAGGGCACTTCAGTGATGTGAAGTGCTGTACGGGGGCTAAGTTACCATTTCATAGAGGGTTCTCTTTAATAGATTCAGAGATTCATAGATGTTAGGGTCGGAAGGGACCTCAATAGATCATCGAGTCCGACCCCCTGCATAAGCAGGGAAGAGTGCTGGGTCTAGATGACCCCAGCTAGATACTCATCTAACCTCCTCTTGAAGACCCCCAGGGTAGGGGCAGTTTGGGCCGAGGTAATTCTCAGGACACAGACACACACACACATACAGGATATGTACAGAACTCTTTGGGGAACTACAGACCAATTCAACTTTTCTGTACACACACTGAACTTAACCCTTTCCAGGCTTGCACCCTTTCCCTAAGCCCTCTTGGTAAGCACTAAACCCTCTTTACATTGACTCAACTTCCTGCTTCCATGCATCTATCCTGCATAAATCAAAACAAGCATGCTCCCTCTCCCCAGTGAACTACAACTTCTGTTCTGTTAGCTGACCTTATATTACATGAAGAAAGAAAGTGGCCTCAAAGGGAGTCTGAAAATATATAGTAATAAGTAATTAAGAGAAATGTTTCTTTCTGGCCAAGTGGAAGCCTGTATGTAGCAGCCCTAATTTAAACAGCAATCAGTACATAGAGAATACTGTGAAATGTTAACATTTTAAATGGGTACCTTTAAAATTGGGGCTTTCACACCAAATTCTAATTACTGAAGTGTATTAGTGATAAAAAAAACATTGGCTCTTTTGGCAGGGGAAGATAAACGACCACATATATTTTAAAACAGAAAAGAGGATGGTCTGTGAGCTGTAATTTGGTATGCAGAAGTACTTTTAAAAGGTTATAAGCAACAAATTCAAGCCATGTAAGATGCAGCCTACAAACAAAAGAACCCTCACAAATGAAACAATCTATAATTCCTAGAGAACCTAATACAACTTGTGCATGTGTGAATTGTGCATGTATGAATTTTGATCTAGCATGCCTATCAAGTTCACCTGAGTGAAGTGTCAAAATTCAGCGTTTCAAAATGAGCTTAAACACCAAGAACACTTTGACATTAATTTTATCCTTAAGAATTTATGTATGTGTATGTGTTAACTGGATTTTCTGTTGTGCTTTGTAGGGGCCCAGGGGGATTCAAGGTATGAAAGGAGAGAAAGGAGAACAAGGAAATAAAGGTTTTCAGGTATGCAGTACCATCGTGAAAACACTGTATAGTGCTTTAATTTTAAGGCACTGTGGAGATATGTAGTGGAAAACTTTAATTTAATCCTAGAATTGCAGATCAGTATAATGTGACATTGTTGTCAGAAAGAAGACAAAAAGCAGTTAACATATGGTACTTCCAGGCAAGAATAAAATGTTTAATATTTTAACAATAAAAAGAAGAAAAATGCAATGGGGCATACAGCAATCTGCCTTCAGCCATTATATCTCGTCATCTGAACTTTTACAGGGACTAAATAGTTCAGAGAAGTGTGAGCTTTCAACTAGGCAACAGCCTGTTTAATCAGATGCTATGAATGGATTTCATAGTAATACATTCATAGCATCTGACAAAGCAGGATGTTGCTTGGTTGAAAGCTCATGCCTCTTTGAACCACTTGGTCCATGGAGCCACTGTGCTCTGCCTCCTGTCATGCAGAGGAGTAATTTTGTCAACCATAATGAAGGGAGTTAGAGAGGTACCACAAATGATCTTAGGTGAAGATGTCCGTTTGCTATATGGTGCAAGAGCCAGGAAGCTTCAAAGCACCATGCTATAAAGCAAACAGATGTCTGCCACCGGAGCAGCATAAATTGATACCTCCTTCATCGCAGTCATAAATTTTAGGCATTTGTGGCATGACAAGGGTCTTGGCCTTTGTGCCACCATAAACTTTTTTATAGCACCATAAAGATGATGAAAGATGATGTCTGTTTTCCCCCTTAGTATCCTGAGCCCTCTACTTCAGTATCCCATGCATCAAGGCACCCCCACAGTGTAAATTGCCTCATTCCTCCTACCCCAGTAAGACTCTGAACACCTTGCATTCCCAGATTTTCATTTTCTTTGCTATGCTGCCAAATATTCCTCCTCTCCTATCCAGTACTGTTCTTAACAGCTCCCTCCCTTTGTACATTCACAGGGCAGAGAAGGAAGTTAATAGTGCTCAGAGAGAAGCTAGTAACTCTAGTAGAGGAGGCCAAGAGCACTGAGGCATGGTATTAAGCAGAATGCCCTGCTTTTCCTCCTATGTCCTCTCCACTTTTACTAGAGGGTAAAATTGATTTACTCTGTAATGAACATGGTGTGTATGCAAATTACTGTCCATGTGAAGTTTTTCCTGCCATTGATATACATCTGTCTGCCACATCAGACACTTCAGAAAAGTGTTGTTTGCCAGCATGGAATATCAGAAGGCATTCTGAATATTTTCTTTAACATAATCTGTTTTAAGAGTAAATGTTCTAGAAAATAGTTTACGCATTTGCCAAGTTAAGCAGATTTCAGTGTTATGGGTTTTTTTTCCTAGACTGTCTTTTTTTCCATTCTTATTTTATTTCTGTTTTCCGTGCTCTCTGAAAGATGCCTGAGTCCTGTCCTAGTTTTTACTTTGTTTTTGGCACCAGTCTTCTTGACCCAGTATCCATGCTCTGTACACATGCTAAAGTAGTATTTTCTGGAAGGGAAAGATAGAAAATTAACTTTCTAATTCCCCTAAGCTTTTCTTTATAACTTCCAAGTTGGGACATAAATTTCTTCCAGGCATGAGATGAATTAGTATCCTACTGACTAGGAATTGTTCTGGCTACTTGTTTTGTTGGCCAGGTACTTGAGGTCCATCTCCCAAGGAAGTTTTACTTAAATAATTTTAAATTAAACATGTTGTATGGCACACAAGACTGCTATTATTTTGTTTGTCTACAAGACTGGACCTGCATTAAGGCCTCACTAAGTTAGGTACCACACTGTAAGAAAGAGCCCAAACAGCTAACTCTAAGGAGGCTGGACAGAATGGCACAGGACTCGAGCAGATCAGTGGCAGAAGCCAGCTCTCCTGATTGCCAGTTGAGTGAAAGGTACAGCAAAAGGAACAAGCCATTAAACCATGATCTCTCCCAAAATAAGCCTTCAGTAGCCATTCTCCACAAGGAAACTTTCAGCTGTTCAGTTCCATGTAAAACAGCACCTTCTTTGTTTTGAGGAGTAAATGTCATCTTACTTTGTTTTAATACATTTCACTGTAGTACAGTAAAATCTGTGTTATCCAGCACTTTACCATCTTGAATACTCTATTAACCGGCATCTGTCATCTTACGTACTACCTGCCGATCAACACAGCAAAAGCAAAACCTGAAGTCCCACCGTGGCACTTTCAGTTTCACCGCCACGAGCCGAGTCCCACTTCTTCCTCATGGACCACAGCCTGGTGCAAAGCATCCTGTGCGGGGCCTCCCTCCCTGTCCCCCGGCACACTGACGAAAAGCCCTGGTGCACTGGACACGGTGGGAGGGGTGGTAGCCCGAACAGGCAAAGGCGCCTCCAACCTACCGGGCTGGAGATAAGTATAACGCTCAGATAACTGGCATATATAATTAACCAGCACCCCCCAGTCCCTATGGATGCCAGATAACAGAGCTTTTACTGTACATACAGTTTTTTTTCCTTGGACGTCATATATTTGCTTTATAGGTGAATGCATCTGCTTCCTTCCACATAAGTACATCTAATACAGAATATCAGATGAAAAATTTAACTCAAATTTATTCCTTATTTTTTCCTAAATGTATCACACTATGAGCTAAAAAAATTCTACTCCATGATCCTTCAATTCCAAACTTTCCTTTCATTAAGTGGTGGTATATATTCCAAATTGCACTGTGCCTATATCATGTTATAAACTAATTTCTGAGCTAGTAGAGCAAGCAAACTCTTTTCTGATAGATATTCTCATAATAGGATTCAGTTATGGGGTCCCACCAACATTACATTCCAGAACCTGTACACCATAGTCCAAAAGTTTTTAATATTGTTATTTGAGAGTTGGGATGCCAGTATTTGATAAGTATTAGTCTAACCTGAAGCAAATCCTTTTGGCATCATCACTTTATTGCTTTATTTTCTAAAACAGAATAGACTTTGTAACTGAGCTAAATTAGACTACTTAGGTAGCACCCTGTATGAGCTTCCTGGTTGACACTATTCTTAGTCTGCTACCCAACCTACTTCGATGAACCCTACCTGCATACCTTTGTGGAGGATGTGCTTGTCCCCAAAGAGATGACGTCCCCATATTTCCCCCAAGTAGAAGAAATGTGCTTTCCACTGATGCTTTTGTAGGTCATACCAATGGAAAGCTACCTGCATGCTTCCCTACAGGAGCTTCTAGAGGGAGGGCTAGTTTCTCATGTAGGTAGAATAAGAAGCCTTTGCTTTTTGAGCAATAATTTTAAGATACATCTGTTTGTGACAAGGGCACATTAAGTTTGGGCCCTTCAGAGGTTCTGCATGCCCAGGGCCATCTCAATACAAGGCAAGAATTAGAAGTTCCTGAGGGCAACACCAGAGCTATGGAAATATGTCATCTTTCTCCCTTTGCTCTTATATGGCACCCAAAAGCTACCTCTTCCAGTTATACCAGTAGCCACTCTTATTTGGTTAAAAAAAGGGTATTTAGGGGGAGGAAATAGGGAAAAATTTCTGCCCTTATTTACACAGGGGTATTTCTCTCCGATATCAGATTTCAGTGCTAATATGATACAGTGCGGTAGGTGTTGCAACAACATACCTGAGGTCAAACAGGGCCCAGGGTATTTCTGGTATATGTGGACTGAAATGCCATGTCAATGAGCAGTATTCTATTGTGGAAATTGCACAGTATAGGAATATATCTTGATATTCTTCTGGCACAGAGGAAAAAAAATGCCTAACAGATGCTGGTAAAAATGTGCTATGCCTGTCCAAGAAATGGTGGCCTTTTATTTATTAAACGTTGCCATTATGTTAGTAAGAGGGAGAGGAAGAACTTGTTCAGACTTCAATCAAGGAATTTAACCACAGTTTCTTTGGCTGCCTTCACTAACAGATGTCTTCAGGAGAATCATTATGTTAGACCCACATGGATGAGTGTCATTCTGCAGCCACCATTCTGTTAAGAAATGCTGATGGATGTAGCAGTGTTTGATGAAGCCAGACAATTGAAAAATCAAGTTTGCTTGCATTACATCGAAAAAATAAATCCAGAAGAGAGGAGGATATGCTTTTCTCTCTCATTGTACCAGAAGCTGCTAAAGAAATCACCTCCCACCGCTGCCTATTTAAGTTGTTGTTGTCATGGTAGCACCTATAGACTCCACCAAGTTTAGGTCCCTAGTTTGTTTGCCACTGTGCAGACATATAGGAAGGAGCAACTCCTACTGTAGGTGAGAAATAGAGAAAGCAAGTGTTAGTCATTCCATTTCATAGATAAGGACTGAAGATGAGAGCCCAAAGTCTCATAGGGAGCCTAGAGAAGAGCTGAAATTTGAACATGGATCTTGTAGAGTCCCAGGCCAGGGTGTTTAATCACTAAATCAACCTTTCTCCTTGACCTGTGCTGACTACTTTGTCTGCTAGAGGGTCAACTGTCCTTTCCTCAGAAGTCTCTGTGTCGCTGGTCTGTGTTTAAAAAACAAAGAAAAATTTATTTCACACTTTACACATTTTACATCATAATATTTATATCTCCTATTTTCAGAGTATACCAGGAGCTGTGGGTGCTAAAGGGAGTACTGGACATCCTGGGATGCCAGGAAGCAAAGTAAGGCCTGTTCTGTATGGTGCTGGATGCGTCTGAGGATTTTTTAAATCTTTCTTCTTGATTGTGGTTATCTTAAATTTATTCCTCCCTGAAGATCTGCTATAGAGCTTGATCCCAAAGCCTTTCCTTAGGAAAAAGTCCCAAGGAACAATGTAAAGCCAAACACTTGATCTTACCAGGAATTTACTTGTATACATTCTAGTAAGGTTTACTGTACTTTTGTAAGCCTTTGGATTGCAGGTTCTACAGTCCTTCAGACCCCTTTAAAGAGGATAAAACCACTACAGTTACCTGTGTATTATACTGCACAATAGGGACTCTGTTCAGTGCCCTAACACTGTTTAAGCAAATGTTTCTTATCTTCTGTTTAGGTTTTCCTCTAGAACAGTTCTTTTAACAGGTTGTTACCTTGCAGTTCCTAGATAAGAATAGAAATAATAGATAATCTGGCTGGGGGCATTGACCCCAGCACTCTTTCCTTCCTTGGCAGGGGGTCAGTCTCGATGATCTGTTGAGGTCCCATCTGACCCTACCAACTATGAATCTATGAATCTGTGAGTAATGCTAATGCTTTGGAAGCTTGCAGCATATTTTGTCAAAGAATCATATCATGCTTTATGAGGATGGGAGTTTATGGACTGAAAGAGAGAGAGCTTAAGTGATGTTCCCAGGGTTTACAGTGAATCAGTAACAGACTTGTAAACAGACCTTGAACTATTGCTCCCATATTCTAACCAAGAGAGAGAATACTCATATTGCAAATATTTGATGGTTATTTTTTGGCCGTGCTAAGATGCTGATTTGAGTCTCATGGATCTGCTTGTCAGTTCCTTGACCCCTGGTAAGCCATGGCTTCTGAAATGAGAAGCTCATGGTGGTGCCTTTCTTTTGAATGACTGTTCTGACAAGAGTTCACAGGTATATTATCAGGTCAAAATTTAAGCTTATTTTTTCTTGAAGGTTTACAAAATCCAAGACTAGAAGAAATGTTTTTGTTTCCTCAATTACACTGAAACTATTTAAAGTAAGCTTCAGCCACTCTGTTGTAACTCTCTCATGCGATACTTTCCAATATCTCATGCTTTAGTCTCAAATATCTCAAATATTTATTTCAACTTGAACTGTACATGACAGTGTCTTGCTGCTTGTTTGAAATCAGTATTTTTTTGTTGGTCATAACAGACCCTGAATTTAAGATGACCCCCCACCCCATGATAAGATTCTATACATGGAAAAATTATTAATTTTCTATAATTTTCCAAGTATAGTTTCATAGTTAGAATGTTAATTATTGTGGGGGGGCTTCTTTAATTCATCCCCCCCATCAATGCAGGGGGCAGGCTGTGTGGGAGCAGTGTGGGGTGGTCAAGCAGTTTGCCCCCTGCTTGTACCTGCCACTTCTGCCCCCTGCCTGCCCCTCCCTCTGCAGCCTCTGTTCCTCACTCCCTACCCTGCCATCACCCAGCCTCTGCTCACCCCCCACTCCCCATTTGCAATTGCTCCATGCCAGATGCTCCATGAATGCTAAAACCTGGGACATGGAGGCCCCAGGCCAGCTGCCATAGCAGCCACGCAAGCTGAACACTGCTGCTATGGGGCTAGGCCAGGGCCATGCACACTGCAGCTTGCGTCACTGAGCATGAAGCCTGCCAGCTTGGAGCAAGGGTAACAGAGATGGGAAAGGGGCAGGCAGGGGAGCAGAGGCTGCATGGTAGGAGAGAGAGCAGTAGAGAGATCATGGGTGCAGAGGCCACAGAGGGGTGGGAGGGGCAGGTAGCAGCTGTGGCTCTGGCCCCAAACCCAGGTAGGGGCTGGAGCCCAAGCCACGGCAGCCGCCTGCTCCCCTACTGCTCTTGTGTGCAGTTCTAAATCTATATTCAGATGTAATCTGTCTGTGTGAATATTGTGCACACATTTTAGATTCCCACCTAGTTCTGATCTTGCTTTTTTTACTTTTACTTTTCTGTACCTCCAGTGATATTACTGCATCATTTATGGAAAGGAGAACCAAATTAGACAGAGTTTGTTTTATCATGTTTCACACAGATGATAATCTTTTTACTTTTATTTAACAGGGAGAGCCTGGCAATCCTGGAGTGAAAGGAGAGAGTGGACAACGCGGTCATCGGGGAAGGCAGGTTTGTATCATTTTCATCTGTATGCACTGTAATTTAGTTACAGCACCTAATGCCTTTCAGTGCAGAAAACTTTGCCCCGGGAAAAGGAGGTGGGAATTCAGAGTTCTAATTGTTATGATCAGCTAATGCCAGGTATTCATTGTACTTGGCTGCCAAAGACCAGAGACTAAACCAACTTGTCCTAGGACATTCCTTATCAGTTAAAGCCAAATTCTGCTCATGCTAATAGTTGTGTAGATTTGAAGTGACTCTCAGAAATATTAATGGAGTTATGTTGAATACACATAGATGCTAGTAAGATCAAATTATAGCCCAGATCACTTAGTGAATATAATGGTAGTAATACACCTGCTGCTACTACCACTGCCTGAAAGGAGATGGACAAAAGCAGGATGGGAAAGTTGATCAGTTTTTTAATTCAGAGAAACTACCATTTGGGCAGTCTGGATCCAGATTCTTTTTGTACTATTTGAGAGGAGAATTCAGGTGGAGGCTTGTTCAATTTCTAATGATGACAATGATGATGATTAGGTTAGATACTCCCTCCATGTTCTGTGAGGCATGGGCATTGTGCACTGTAAAGCAGTCTCAGTGCTTTGGGGAAATGTTCTGATATCCTTTTCTGGATGGCCAAGTAGCAATCTCTAAACTGCTCAACTGTGCCAGCCTTGGAGATGTTGCAGCACCTATTCTTCCTGCCCACTGCTGATTTGATTCAGAGGTTAGGTCGGAGACAAAGTCTAACCGTTTCTGTCCCCCTTCCTGTTTGAACATATTTATTCCACAGGCTAGGAAGACTGCACTCCCCTCTGATTCTGCTCACTGGCACTGGCTGGGGGGGTAGGAGGCAGAGATGAGTAGAAACTACTGTTCTTGCACCCCCACAGTAGGTTGCCCATAATTAATTACATCCTCCCTTCAAGGTTCTTGGGTTGCTGCACAGGCTTGTAAATGAAATACAAACAATAATAGAGTACAGCTGTCAGGAAGGGTGGGTTTAAATGAAATGTTCTGTTCCTAGGGAGAAGATGGCCCTACTCAGTATGGTAGACTGGGAAATAAAGGAGCAAAGGTAAGTTTTTGAAAATGGCATGATATGGAAAACTCAGTTTTATTTTTACTTAAGTTTAGAAATTGGCAATACTCTTGTCCTTCCATATGTCCTCCTATTTTTTACTATCATCTTCCACTAAAATAAGTCAGGCCCCACTTGCATGTGAGCAAACCTGTGAGCCCTCTTGAGTTTCTTGGGATTTGGCATAGGCCTGTCCAGATAATTTCTTATGGTAGGTCTGAAACCGTGGGCAGTGACCTGTGGTTTGGGGTTTTTCAAAGTTAAGTTACAATGAGATTCTGGAATAACCTTCAGCAGAGTTCTGGAGGTGGAGCTTGCCAAAGTCTTTAATGGGGCTATATAACACATGATAGCAGGGTTGTAGACTTGGTGACCCAGAAAGTCCCTTCCTGTCCGGTGTTCCTAAACTGTGCTTATGGATGCAAGAGCTACATTTCCTTCAGGATACATGTAAGGAATACATTAAGCTGCTTTATATAACCAAGTAGCTGAAGGAAGAGGAATACCACACCAAACAAAGACCCATTGCAAGACGTGGATAGAAGCTGTTCTGTGTGAACCAAGGGGTTTTCCTGCAGACTGAACTAGCAGAGGCAGGGGCTGGAATATTTAATTGGTAGAGCTCTCTGTGTGTTTGGATTACTAAGGAAGAGCCAGCCAAAAAGATTAGAAAAAACTGAAAAAGCACCAATGCAGAGAGCACTGACCCCGGTAAAGGAAGTATGAGGCTGAGAAAAGACTGGGGCAGAGAAAGAGAGAGAAAAGAGAGTTGTAGATCCTGAATGAGCTGTAAGCAAGAAAAGTATCGCCTGTTTGACTACTCATATATTCATGGAAATAGGACATGTATGTCCTTTGCAAATAAACAGGATCTCATACATGATACCTGACTCCATTATCAGTTTCTTTTCCTGAGAGACACAAGCCAGGGCTGGAGAGCAGGGGAGAGAGGTATACAGGGGGCTCAACTTTAGGCAACCCTCAGGTCTATGTATATCATGGACATTGTAATTTCCAGCATCTGGCTTTGGTGGGGGGGTGGAAATTGTACTGTATGCACAAAAAAAGGGTATAATCTTAGAGGAATCCACAGTGAACTAGGCACTGTGAACATACTTGAGAGGGTACTGTCTCTGTCCCAAATGGCATCCAATCTAAGCGGTTAAGCAAAGTGTAACACAGTGTTTCTCAAATTTGTGATACCTGGGGCACACTTTTATTCTGGATTAAGACTGGCAGCACACTTCACTCTTACACCTAAAAAGTTGTGCATGCATGGCTCTCTCCCTCCTCCCCAGTAAAGGTATGAAGGGGGAGACTTGAGACTAGAAAAGTTAAGCATCACTGATCTAGCAGGTGCCACCTAAAGACTGTGTTGCTGAGAGTGTGAGGGGAGCCAGCACAGGTCCTGCCCTGGAGATGAATAAAGGTGGGGGAAGGTGGCAGCAGCTGCAGATGCACCAGGAGTAGCTGGTGGAGACAGGGGAGGAGATCATTTACCCTATCACACTAGGGAATCTCACAACACACATCCATTGCTCTTATGACTGACTAATGTGCCAGGACACACTCTTTGGGAATCAGTGGTGTAACAAGCGATGGGAAATTAATCCATGAACATATCTCCCATTTTGATATTAAGCAGGGCTGTCCAAGTTCAGTGCAGTCGGGGGCCCCCAGGCTGCAGACCTCACAGGTCCCCAACACAGGCTGGGCTGGTATCACATGGACTCCTGATCCTTGCTGCATGGGCTACACCAGCCATGTATGAACCCCCAAAACCCTTCCTTGTTGTACGACAGCATATCACATGCACAAGTTGCATGTTAAGTGTTTGTGGGCTTTATGGTCCACAGGTCACATAAAGGGCCTCACAGGCTGCCAGTTAGATGGCCCTGATATTAAATACAAATGTGCTCATTATGCCTGTCTGGTCCTTGGTCATTCCCCATTTGAAATTAAATGAAGATTGGAGCTACTTCAGTAACAGAAATTGTAGCTTTCTGCATGAGCAATGTGCTCCTAATTATGTATATACATCTCTGTCCTTTATTTTTTTTCTGTGAGAGTTCACTTTCATGTGTAATAATGACCCTCCTTCATTTTGATAAGCCTTGATCTCCCAGTAAGCAGCAGCTTTTCTTTTGCTTATTGTTTGTCTGTCATCCCTGGGAATTTCTCTCACTCTTCTTCCAATTGTGGTTTTGCTAGGCTGGCTAAATTGTGCTGGCTTTTATGGCTCACACGTAAAAAGCTTGTCTAATTTTATCCCAACTGTGGAGTGGGTCCAGTAAATGTCACCACCCTAAGAAATCCTCACCTTTCAGAAATTGTAGTGAAATTAACTTATTCAGAACAGGCTTCAAGTATTTTCCTGTGCCAGGACTGGTTCTCTTCTGTACTTACCACAATGATAGTCACATGGCTTTTATTGAGTTATTTCTGTGATTTGAACAAGCCAAAATAAAAACAACAAAGTAAAAGTTTGTATGCATCTGTGTGTGTGTGTGTGTGTGTGTGTGTGTGTGTGTGTGTGTGTGTGTGTGTGTAATATATGCATGTGTGTGTGTGTGTGTGTGTGTGTAAAATATGCTAAAAAAATCCCAATATGACTTACAAATTTAATTGTATCTAATCTGTGATTTACAGGGATATAATGGACTGCCTGGAGATTTTGGACCAAAGGTACCGTATGTCACATCAATTTTCTGGCTTTCAAACAAATCAGCTAGCATCTCCATTTTGTTGCATCAGCAGGGAAATGATCCAACTGCAATACAGTTAGTAGAATCATACCAGCTTAAAACTAATATTATTCAGGCTCAGTATTTCTTTTAAGATGGAAATAAGTTTTGTTGGTCGGTTTTTGGTATGAATGACACCCATTTTCCTGATGTTTTATGAGAAGACTAGGAAGAGCACTTGTGTCAGGAATCATTTTTACTGATGTTAAAGGAGAAACTGTTGAGTGTGATTTAATTTCTTCTAGTTCTAAAAGGGGCCAGTATCCTTCACAGTAGATCAGAAGAACAGAGATGAGACTGGTGTTTTGCTGGGGAAAATCATGTTGTGATGGTTGCCTTGAGGAAAGAGCAGGAGGTTAGAGGAGCACTCAAAGTAGTGAAGTAGAGAGCCCGGCCATTCATTTGTATGTCCCTAGGTCTGCCCTATATCTATTCACCCCACTGAAATAGCCCCTGAGGCAGTCAGGTTTATTGAAGATTTGACTTGTAGGTCATATTGCCCATTTAAACACTAGTACCATCAGTCTCGTGCAGTTTTGCTTTTCCTTCTCCCCATGTAGGAGGAACATAAGAGGTGTTACTCCCTACCACTGCCTTTTGTGGCCATATTACACAAGGGACTTCATCTAGCCCTAGCTTGTTAAAACCAGGGCTCTAGAGAGAAGGACATTTTAGAAGTCATTGAATTAAAAAAAATAACTTTGACTTCGGCATTATCTTACTGTTGAGCACCTGATTCTTCAACTGCTTATATTGTATTTCCAAAGGAAATACATAAAAATCAGAATCAATGAAAAGAAAAACTGTGATTTGCAATTATTTAATGTAAAATATCATAAATATTCTTTTTATAGTTTTTCTCATAGAATGTTATATTTTTCTCTTCTCCCATCCAAAATCATTTAACTGGATGAGTCAAAATGCTAGTCTTGTTCTGGGAGCCATAATTTAGTAGGCATGTTTGACATACTACATTTGGAGAAATTGTTGTTGTATAATAAAATATTTTTAGTTTTGCTTGGTTTATTCAACTTTAGCAAAATAATTCAAAATATTTAACAGAACTATTAGCAGGAATGATGATAACCAGTCTTATGACAGCTCAGTGATGGCTATTCAAATTAATGGAAACTTGAAGTATTTGTTTCAGTTAATTAATAAAAAATAATTGGAGCTCTCTGAAGCACTGAATTTTTGTTCCATGAGAAAATCCACATTTTGACATTTGTGTTTTGTTCCAAATAAGGACCAAATGTTTTTTAATAATAAATATTCTGTAACCCATTCCAAAAACAATTTCAACATTGGGTCAGTGTCTGAAGAAGGAGTAAAGCACTTAAGCTACAACATTCAGAATAGTATCTGGGATTTTGGTTCAGCCCTTAACAGAGATGGACAGCTGTACAAATGTAGATCCATATCTAGGTTTCAGTTCTGAACCTGTCCTCCTTATCTTCAAAGTTCAGTGATGTTCAGATACAGAGCGTGTGGGCTTATGGCTCAAATACACCGATTGTTATTAGGGGTGTGCGAAGTGGGTTGTATTTGATTTGGATTTGGTTTGATTCGTGGGACAGTGATTTGATTTACTGATTTGGGTCACTGTCCCAATTCCATCTGGCCGGATCTGAATCTGAAGATTCAATTCTGATTTGGAGAATCAGCGATTCGGACATAGACACAGACCCGGACATAGACACAGACCCAGAACTGGACTGGAAATAATTCTGGTCCGCTACTGGGTTCACTGCTGAGCACTCCGAGGACCCCCCTGCGCTCCTGTGGGATGCTCCATCTGCCCTACCATCTCGGGTTTCATGAGCCGCACCTGGTACCTCGAGATGCATAGAAAAAACATATAAAGCTGTGTCTGCGGCCGAATCATTGAATGTCTCCGAATCAATTTGGAGGCTTCTGATTCAATTCGGAGAAATTAAAGGGTCTCCAGATTCAATTCAGATTCGGAGATTCAGCCACCGAATCAGGCTGCATCTCCTCCGAATCGAATCAGCGACTGAAGCTTTGCACAGCCCTAATTGTTATTGTATTTAGAGCAGGAAAATATCGTCTCCTAAACTCTGTAGGTCCAAAATGCTGTGGCTACAGAAAACTAGTTATTCCATCTCACATGCTTGTATGTAGAGGATTCAAGGAGCTCTCACTGAGGAATTATACCTCTGCAGCGTTCCCTGTGTGGAGCCATGGTGTTTGAGAGAGCTGGTATTTGAGGGATGGATAAGAGTGTCACAAGTTATTAAACTTTGGGGTGTTTGAACATGTGACAAAAAATGTCATTTGTGTGGCTTAGTTTGGGGGTGGGGAGTTAGATGAGTTTGCATCATTGCAAACTAAACTACATCCGGGTATAGTTGAGTTTGCAACAATGCAAATTGCAATGATGCAGCTGTCAGGTCAATGGCCAGCTGTGGGAGAGGCAGACAGGCTCCACAGGAAAAAAAAGGATCAGGCCCTTCTCCACTTCAGCCTTCAGCAGGAGTGTGCTAAAGGCAGAAGTGGCAAGGGGTCTGATGCTTTTTTCTGTGGGATCTGTCTGCTTCTCCTGCAGCTAGGGGGCAAGCTGCCAGCAGGCTAAGTCGCCCCATAGCTGCACAGGGCCCCAGTCCTTCCTTCCATGGTGGCATTTCAATTAAAAACCCACTGTTTCAATTTAGAGGTCATAGAATAAACCCCTGAGGACTAAACCCCCATCATGTGTACAAGCACCCTTGCAGATCCACCAGCTGTGTTCCTTCCTTGGAAAAAAGTAGACCAATTATTTTGGCTTTAGGCAGATGTAACTTTAAACCATTTTCAAATGGGAGGGATGACTTGTTGCTTGGGGAGATGCTCCATCATAATTCTTGTCTAGCCACTCCTCCTGTATCAGTATGAGCTTGCTAAACTCACGTAAATTTAAACCTGAATGAAATGGGTTTTAAAGTTACAGCAGGTTAAACTTACCAGCATTTGAGCATAGAAATGTACCAGTAGTATTGGAACAGCTGATGTCAATGTAATAATTACATCCATTCACATACTTAGTTGTTGCCAAGCTCCTCATTACATAGTTGCAGTTATTTGAGTTGTGCTCTGGCCATAGGATTTGGCATTTCATATATTTAATAATTAGAGTAAGATGCTGTTCCAGTTAAGGTCAATGGAAGTTTTGCCAAATTGACTTAGAAATGAATAGGCCAGCTAGATCCATGGCTGAGGAGCAAATTTGATTCCCCTGGCCCCTGTGTAATTTCATTGCTGTTCTGATAAGTGTATGACAAATAAAATAACAGCACTGAAAATAGTGGGGAATTTTATGTCTGTAATTGGCAACATCCAAAGCTATGGTGTTTTCAAAATTCTAGGGTAACAATTTTCTTTTGGAAGAAAAAATATCTTTTAAATTTCCCATTGATTCATCCACTATATTAATGTCACAGTGGCACCTTGTTCTCCATTTTCCTGAAGGTTTTCTACTGCAGTGTGTGTTTGGTTAAAAAATAAAATCTTTAATGATATTTTTGTCACACTTTTTATAAGAATCAGTGTCTAATTTTATTATGTATAAGTCCTTTATATGTACCTGCATGTGGGCAGGTTTCTTGAATTAATGCATAAATAAAAATGAGTATTTCATGAGTTATTCACATTTCAGCATAATAGCCATTTTCACATTTTTATTTCATAATGAATTAGGGTGAAGTTGGAAATCCTGGCCTTCCAGGGAAAACTGGACTAAAGGGAAACAGAGGAAAACGGGCAAGTATTCTTTCCCCCTCCAATGATGGAAATCTATTTAAGTTAGCATCTTGTAACATCTTGAACTTTATTATATTGATTTTTTTTAAACTAAAATGGAAGGAATTTTCAAAAACAGTGAGCCTTGGACTGACTAAGCTCCTACTTAAGGTAGATGGAAACCAATGATGAAAGTTTCTGAAAATCAATTTCTGGTGTTTTCATATAAAAAAAAAAAATCTGTTCCAGTGTTTTCATATAAACCACACATTTCCAACCCCCTAAAACATTTTTTTTGCCTTTCCTAAGAAGGAAAAAGATTTGCCAGTAAGCAGTTCAAGGAAACTTCACTGAGCTCCTATTCCCCTCGCCTCCCCTTTGCCTTCCTCCCCCACCCACTTTTTCTTTATCCTCATTTCTGATCTGTTTTCCTAAAAACTTCTGAAGAGGACTGACTTAGGGTTTATTTGGAAACATGCCCATACCTCTTCATGGTCAGACAGGTTTTCTACTGAGTTTTTTTCAGTGCTATGGCAGGTTGTAGGGTCCCTTCTTTGTCCCTTCTACAGAAAGGGTAAAAAGCTTAATTTTGGTACAGCAACAGCTAATGTGACACCGTGCATGCAGTATCTGGAAATGCAAAATGTATAAAACCTTGAAGTCCTCATTGCTAGTTTAGATCTTAACACAAAACTGTCTTTCCTCTAACAGATAAAAGGAAAGAAATGAGTTGGATGCAAAAGAGGCTAGTTCCATTGAGGACAATAGATACATTCATATTTTTGATTCGGGGTTTATATTTCTGAATAGTTTTTGTGTTAGGTGCCAAATAAACTTTGCTAAAATTCAACTGAGCCCCTAAAAGAATCAGAGACGTGATGCCCTCCTATCCTTTTGTCCTTTAGAAATGGTTATGCAAATCAGGAATCATTCAACCTAAGTAATTGTCCTGTAAAGTAAATGAAAGGAGAATAAGGCTGCAACAGCTGCACAACCTACATGTTCCTTCTGTAAATCTGTTCTATTTGGTGATTGTGTTTGTAATTTATGTTCATGTTTATAGGGTGTTTCAGGTCCTGTCGGTCAAAAGGGTCGTGAAGGAGACTCGGGACCTCCCGGACACAGGGTATGACACGTACTGAGGATCATCTTACCTGTCTGAAAGAACACTGTCCTTTACTTTGGAGAAGAGCGTAGTCACCATTAACTATAGACTATCTTCTTCCTTTTCTAGATTCCAGGCCATGGTTGACCAACCTGCACACATGTGCCACAAGTAGCGCAGGCAGCCTCTGTGTATGGTATGCAGCAGATCAGGGAGGCAGCAGCAGAAAGGGTTGGAAGCAAAAATCAAAGGAGCAAATCAGGCAGGCAGCATATGGAAGGAAGCAGAAAGTAGAACAGCAGGTCAGGGATGGAAGCAGATGGCTTGGAGCAGAAAGCAGAGCAGCAGAGCAAATAGGGGAATGAGATCAGAATGGCACTTTGGGAGGGTATGGAGCTAACTTGTGGCATGTCATGTATTCTTGTGGGCTATGCATAGAGTCAAAGTTCCAATTATTAATAAATGCTCATTGATAGAACTTCTGTGTGTATTGCAGATTGCCTGGTCACATTTTGGAAATGCTGATTCTGTCTTCTAATGACACCTCAAAAGTGTGTGTGTGTGTAACTATCTGCAATTTTTATAATACATCGAATTAAATGTCTAAGGACCAATTTTTTTCAGAGAAAGGGGAATGCGTTCCTACATTATTATGATTTTTTAGTACAAATTGGGTATTTCTATGTGTAAGTGGTTATTTAAATGTCTGTACTTCTAGGTTGCACATACAAATGTAGATATTCCATTAATTAATTGAGGATGCAAATAAAAGACCACACTCTACATTTGAACTTCTGAAAACCAAGCTGCAAAGGACAATACTGCCATTTGGTACACAGAGACTGATTTTCTTTTCTTTAAAAAAACAGGAATAAATATCTGCTTTCAAGATTTATCTGTCCACATTTGAACTTCCCATTATGGTTTATAGGTGTTTTACGATTGTGATATAATCTGAGATATAGCTCTGTGGCAGGGCACTGTGTGTGCCTGCCACTTTAAGGGCCTGGAGCAGGCAGCCGGCAGGGGCCTAAAGAGGGGCGGCACTTCAGGGCTGCCCATATAAACAAGGCAGTTCTGCTGCTAGGGGCCAGGCAACAACACCACCTGGCCGGAGGGCTGCTGGTATTATCTGGAGGCAAGGGAGGAGCTGTAGGGGATGATCAGGAGGCTCCTGGTCCTGGGCATGACCTAAAACTGCACCCTGCCAGGAGTGGGTGGCCTGGTGGGGCTCTCAGTGGTGCGGGAGCCCCCAGGAAGTGCCAGGCCAGTTATCACCCCAGTGAAAGGCGGGTTGGGGCACCTTAACCCCTAGCCCCCACAACTGGGTGGGTTACTCTTTGTTTGGAGGGCCCAGAGCGTGGGCCCTCGGAGAAAGAAAAGGGCGATAGACTCAACGCCTGTCTGAATTTCCCCTGACTGGTCAATGCTGGGGTCAAAACCGGAAGGGTCGAAGGGCCAGGGGCCCACTGCGAGGAACGCCCAAGAGCTGAGGGCCTGGGGTTCTGACTGGCCTGGAGGTGGGCCAGGGCTAGTAGCTGAAGGTCCCAGTGGGGGGATCACACCCGAAGGGGGATCAGTTCAGGGAGCTATGGTGCCCGGTATGATGGTGGAAGAGGCCGCCTGAGGGAAGGAATCCAGGTGGGGTTCAATAGGAGGATTCTGGGGCCCAGCGTGGGGGCCAGCGATTTATGAGAATATCTAGATGCCATCCGTGAGGCTTGGGCTGCAGTGTAGGGGAGGAATGGAGCCGCAGATAATGCCCCCTGGCATCGGGGCAGTAAATGGGCAGCCTCCCGCTTATTAACATCTATTAAATAATTATAACAACAAGGCATGGCAGACGAGAAGGTGGGCAGTTATCCCAGGAACAGGTGGGCGGGTCACTGGGAAATCAGCCCCGAGCAGGCCCCCTGTTACAAGCTCTAAATGTGGAAGCTCTATGGAAACTTCTTCCTATATCCAGTGTAACTGATTCTCTTTAATATAGTGTCATACAAGGATACAGAGGCTTAGAATTTGATTTCCAAAGATAACCAGTTGTCAAGACTGGCCTGACTGTTAAGCTGTCAAAAAGAGGGCAGAACTGTTTGTAATAAGACATTTTCCAGCTCACCTTCTCTTGGTCTCTTCAGTGACAATTGCAGTAAAAAGCAGTAGAAACCTACTTTTGCCATTAAAACCAAATAGATTTGACTTGGATTATCTAGAAGGAACAGATTGGTCAAGTAGTATGCCACCATTTTCACTCACTTCCCAGGGCAGAGCTTCACTGTAGATGTGCTCTTCTCACTCACATTTTTCATTTAAACGTATACCAGTTATCCAAATGCATTTATATGTCTCAAGTAGCTTGTAATATAAAAATAAGAGCACAACTGTAGTATTTCTACATAAAAATTGCAAAACATTAATGCATAAATTCAAGGTGTTAAAGCCATATATAATTTTGAAGGAAAAAGCATCATTTTTTGTTTCCCTGGGAAACAAAATGGTTTTCCTCTAGTAACAGCTATAGGGATCTGGCTTTTCTAGAATACAAATTTTAAATACTTTGAATGTGTAATTCACCTTAAAATATATTTTTATACAATAGTCAATCATGGTCTACAGCTGACTTATATAATGGATCCTCTTTCTCTTAATTTGCCATCAAGAAAGCTGGCATTTAAATATTTATCTAGTTATTGCTTTCTGTCTTCTAGGGTGCTATCGGACAAAAGGGCCCAGCTCCATTTTCCGTATGTATCCTTGTCATATTCTGCATAGAAATAAACCAATTCTTTGGCTAACAATTTATTCATTTCCTTTTTGCATTTGCTCTGCAGCCATGTGAACTCATTGAATATGTGCGCAAAAATAGCCGTAAGTACTGAATCTTGCTTTGACTTTTATCATCAAAACTGTAACACTTTATTAATATTTTGAAGTCATATTTCCCCAACTTCCCTAGAAAACTCAAATCTGATATTATGTTGTTGTTGTAAAAGGCAGTGTGTTTGGATAGTATCAGCTCAGAGTTTTGTCTTTCTCAAAATGTGACAAAAACCTAAAGTAAAACACATAGAATCCAAAATAAAAGCCAGGTCCTGCATTCTTGGTGTACCTAGCATACCCATTGAAACTCATGAGAGCTGGGTGCTGAAGTAGGCAGTAAAAATGTGCCCAAACTGTCACAAATAATTTTTGTATTATGCTATTTTGGGACTGGGAATGAAATCTTGGACCCACTTAAGTCTGTTTCAGTTTTCTCAATGATGTCAAAGATGCCAAGATTTCACCTTGCATTAGGAGTTTGTAATGACTATATTTTATAGTTATACTATAATCTATTGCCTCTTATAATAACTATATTTTTCCTTTTTGTTTAGCTTGTTGGAGTGGTAAGTACTGTAAATGACTAGTTTGTTTTCAACATGGATGTTAAAAAGTGTTGTTCATTTATAAGACTGACTAGGATAAGATCTTGCAAGGTAAGTACAGGTTTTGCTTTGGAGTTTTGGCTGCAAAGGAGTCAAGCAAACTTGCGTTCAAATAACAGCATGTCTACGAATAGACCGACAAATTAAGTCACTTCTCCAAGGGTTCCTGTGGCAAAGCTGAGGAACATTTCCTGTGGAACTGAAGCAGAGGCTCCCAAAGACCTGGCTAATAGTCCCTGTTGGGTCATTCTTATCTTTTCCCTTTCTTTTCATAAAAGAAATACTGTTTTCCCAGCAACATCCATTTAGCTTCTCTTAATGTTGTATTTTAACCTTCCTTTAGACCTTCTTTTTACTGCCCTGTCTGTAAAACCATGTTTTACATAAAGGAGTAAACTTGCTTTTTTGTTGCTTCTGATAAATTTCCTTGCACCATGTTTCATTGATGCATGTTTTAAAGAATACTTTCATCCTTCTTTGCCTCACCATTTCGGGATTTGGGGCCAACTTCTGAAGCTTACCTGCCCAGTTTCAAAGGCCAGATACTTGTTCTGTCAGGTGCAAGATGGATTTCATTCAAACAGCTGAGGGTCTCCCTTGGCAAGGAGGAATTCCTGGGTGGCAAACAGCAAAATAAAGCTGCCATGTTTGGCTCCATGTCTGGCTCTGGTCCTGCTTTGAGCAGGGGTTGGAGTAGATGACCTCCCGAGGTCCCTTCCAACCCCAATTTTCTGATTCTGTGATTGTATCCCACAGCCCTGTAAACATCCAGAGTAGTTGCTTGCAGTATTTCTGCACGTGACAAGGAGACCTAGGTCACAGCCAGAGTACTGATGTGTCTTGCGGGGACACCTGGTTCGTGTAACAGTTCTAGTGCTGTTCCTTAGCTAGCAAGAGAGGGGTTGATGTGTAAAGAAACTATTCTTCACCCAACAAACTGGAAGTATACTGGTGTTACAGCACTCCCTCCTAATAAATGGAGCAGGAAACCAGTATTGTTTTATCAAAGCAGTGGTTTTGTCATAGTATTAATATCCTCCAGTAAATTCATTTGGTATTGGACAGGATGGGAAGTAAACTAAGTGAAGAGTTTCCCAGCTCCAGAGGTTCTGTCATGGATATCTATTATCTAACTATAGTCCCCATGGCCTTCTCTTGCATATTTCTTTTCTTTCTTTCTTCTTGGTTTATTAGCCTCCCCAACCTTTGACCTCCATTTTGGTTTCTGGCACTAGTAACGTCCTACTAACACCGTATGTTTTTCCACTGTCCTGTCCCCCCTCCCCTCTTTATTCTTTTTCTCTTTCTGCCTTATTTAATTTCTGTATTTATTTTCTGGACTTCATTCCTTTTTTTCCCCCTCTGTCTGATGAACGTAGACAGATAGGGTCCTGACCCTAAGCATTCCTAAGCTGCCTGGCTTGCAGATGAAGTGCATTCACTGGTATTTCTTTCTTGAGCCTTTCCTTCCGATCTGTTTTTCCTTCCTATTTTCATTGGAACAGTGTGATTACTGCTGTTGGTCCTATTTTGATTACTTCAAATTTTAGTCATATGAGACACTGGAATTTGTTTCACCATGGAAGTACTGTGTATATTTCCAAAGAACAGCTATGCTCCTGTATGTCATATAATATAATTTTAGTCGTCTCACTCATGCCTGATTATCACAGCTCTGCACAAAGGATAAGGCAGAGGTGCATTGCCACAAGGAGAAATCCAAGGATTGTACCTCAGCCAAACAACTCTTCTAGAGCCTTTGGGCAGCCACGAAGAGCCTGCTATACTCTTCTTTCTGTGACTAGTTAGTTTTTCAGGCAAACATATAGGAAGGCAGTGGTTTGGTCCTGTCCTTTCCCACCTTGCTGTGAGATACTCCCCTAATGCCCCCTGGGGGCAGCATGGTCAAATGTGTATAGCACGAGACAGGGGGTCTTTTCCTGGCTCTGATATTAACCAGCTGGGATGTTGGGCAAGCACTTTGCTTCTCTGGGCCTCAATTTCCCCAAATGAAAATTAATAGGAACTCTCCATTTACCAAGAGAGTCAGATATGCTGATGAAAAGCAGTATACAAGAGCTAGGTATTTATATTATTAGTGTGCCTAACCTCTGCACAAGAGTTGGGTTGCTTTCTACACCTGCCTGTCTGGTGAGCCATCTGCTCAGTTGTAAGACACAATTTGCCTTCTTAGTACTTCATGTATTGTGATTTTTATGTTCTAAGTATGTCATATCATAGGTCCCGAATAAATAAAATAAAAACTTTTCCACAGTTGCTTGCATGAAAAGTTTTTTGTATTCTAGGAAAACGGGAATGCCCAGTATATCCGACAGAATTGGCATTTGCTTTAGACTTATCCCAGGATGTCAGCCCTCAGATATTCCAAAGAATGAAAGACATAGTAATATCAATAGTGAATGACCTGAAAATCAGAGACAGCAACTGCCCAGTTGGAGCCAGAGTTGCTGTTCTGTCCTATAATTTGCATGCCGACTACCTGATCCGCTTCTCGGAGGTCTACAGCAAGAAACAGCTTCTTAATGAACTGAAAAATCTGGATTATCAGAGATCCTCAGGTGGACGGGATATTGGCAGTACTATGAGATTTGTTGCCAGGAATGTTTTCAAGCGAACCCTCCAAGGTCCTAATGTGAGAAAAATAGCAGTGTTTTTCAGCAATGGGCCGTCTGCAGATGCATCTGCCATTAACACAGCAGTTCTGGAGTTGAGTGCGCTAGATGTTGCTACAACAGTTATTGCATTTCAGGATCTACCTAGCATCAATCGTGCGTTTGCGGTAAGAAATCCATGAATATTTTCTTCTTTATATTAAATAACAATGCCATGAAAAGAGAGATTTTAAAACATGCGAGGTTGGTTTCATCCTGGATGTAATTCTGTTTAGTTCAGTGATTCATTTTGCATCCAAACATGGATCCAAATCTTGCAAGCCAGCACATGAGTGGCCTTCACTGATACTAATGGTTACACTGGAGCCAGTGGAAGTATTTATAAGATTGCTTATTTGAATGAGTAAAAGATTCTGGTTTCAATTTTAATATTTGCAAGACTTAAGACAGAATTCACTGTAAAAAGTGTCATGTATCATGATACAGGCTCTTTTGGCCCTTGAAATTTGCTATTGACCTTTTGAAATGTGCTTTGATTCCCACAAGAACAGATTTACTTGACACCTTGTGTTCCTCTGTAATATATTACTTAATCCTCCAGGCAGAGAGGGGTTGGCTTTCCAGAGCTCTGCCCAACTTCTGGGCAACTGGGGGCCTCACACAGTGCATGCCATAGATGTAGGGGTTGCAGGCTGTGCTCCAGCTCCCTCTCTCCATGGGCACAGCGAAATTCCCCTCTACTGACTGTGTGCAGCCCAGCTCAACTCTTTCCTCCCCACCAGCAATGTAAATAGTCACAATGATGTCAGTGGAGCTACTTATGTGTGTAAAGCAAGCAGGCTTTGACCCTTTATTCCATTCATACATAGTGCCTTATGTATTCATTCATTTTACAAGAGGTAAAGGTTTGGTTCATAATTTTTTTTTTTTATTGCACCAGCTGTATACTTAGGAGGGATGTTTGACAAGCTTTCAGGTACAAAATGCTGTCCTTCACATCACCGGTCTCTCTCCCAATTGTACACTCATTCCAATAAAAAAATAAAAAAAAATATTGCCTCTTTACATTTCCCATATCATCATGGCTACAACGGCACTCCAACCCTAGCACAACATGGAGGGTTCATTTAGGCTGTTCTGCCATACAGTCATTGAAAAGATGTTTCTTGCAGTATTATATTCTGGAAAGAAAAATGTCAGTGGGGATTTCAATTTTAACTGGGTTTTTTTGGCTGCCAAACAATTCTACGTGATATATAGCATACTAGCAAATTGTCCATCAAGGATGATGTGGGAAGGGGAGCCAGTGGGGATGGACCCCCCATCTGGCCCTGCATCCTCCCTCCCCCCTCCTCCCAATTTGGGTACAACCCCACCATTCCTCCCCCCTGGTTCAGGTCCCACCCTGCCCTCCCCCCCTCCCCCCCCACCTTCAGGTCTGAACTTGGCCCCTCCCCCCTAGTTTGGGTCCAACCCCGCTCCACTCCCTCCCCACTCCTTGTGTCTTTGGCACAACTCTGCATACTTCAGTTTTGTCCTAGATAAATATGGCCCACTGTTTTGCTTCTGGCATATATTTTTAAGGAGGGAAAGACATTGTTTCCTGTTTATGTCACTGTCTTTCCTCCATGCTTAGCCCCTTTCTTGGCCCTCCTTATAGAACTGAGCAAGAGATTTATCGGGCACAGTGTTTTCCTATGAAAAATCCCAAAGGACGCATCTGTTTTATTTCAGCACCGAATTACTTGATCCTGCCCACTCTGTACATAGTGGCCTCTACTACAGCAGGTTACAGAAACCTTTAAGCCTCTTCAAATCTATATCAGTCTGTATTCCATAGCAGATTTCTTTGTTTCTCTGAAACTTTCGGAACTGGTTGGAACAAGATTTTAGTGGCCTTGGGAAAGGGGTCAAGCGATCAACTTAGCTTTATTTTTAGGTTTCTGATAGGGGTGTGCAAAGTTATAGGTATTTCAGTGATTCCCCATTATAGTCTATGGCTGAATCTCCGAATCTCTCTGAATCAGTGCCAAATCTTCTGAAGCTGGTTCAGCCGAATCAGTTTGGGACAGTGATCCAAATCTCAAAATCAAATCACTGTCCTCTGAATCAGCTGAATCCGGATCAAATACTTCCCTATTCACACAGGCCTAGTTTCTGACCCCGTCTGGTAATCTTTAATCATCTAGTAATCTTTACTTTAATCAAGATCTTGCTAATCAATTGAAATTTATATTTTTGAGGTGGCAGAAGGACAAATTTCTTAGATTCTTTATGGTTTGCTTTTTGGCTCTTGGTCAGCTAATTACTAACTGTAGCCTAACAAGGCTGCTTTGCTCCTTCTATCCTCAACACTGCCTTTGTGTCTGTATTCATTTGAACATGTTAGAAAAAATATATTATTGCAAAATAACTAGTAACATATTTGGTTACCTTTAACTATTAATGTTTTAGGATACAGTTGTAATACAGAGTATTTAGGATACAGACCATTGGCTTGCTGTTCAGTCATATTTCTGCAGCTTTGACTCAGTTACATGAAAATAGCCAAGCCTGATAGCCACACTTTCCCTGCAATTTGGTTGTGTTTTGGATAGCATGTGTTTGATTCAAGTTATAGTGCTGTTTGTCACCCATAGTTCATGCTACACAGGTCTATGCATGGCTACACTGGCTCAAACCAATCTACTTGCCAGTGAGATCCTGGATTAGCAAAAACGTTGTCTTGCGTCATGTAATCTAATAGCTGAATCAATGGCTAAACCCCAAGAATATGCAAAAAGAGGGTATTTATTTTCTTCCCCCTCCCTCATACGGATGTTGAATATGAATACACTATGTGCCCTGCGCATGGGTCCCAGAAAAGTGAGATTTCATTTAAATTGTTTGAGCTTAACGCAATCAGACTGGCTTGTGTACTACAGATGTGAAGTTTGGGAGAGCAGAGCTACAACTGGTGTTCAGCTGATGTAATTGAAAATCCTCACTCCCATTATCCTGAAGAGGATTCTGCTGGCCAGTCACCTACAGTGGGATGCATGTTGATCCATATTCAAAGAATAAATACCCTACAGTAATTTTTTTTAGATTGCTATCAGTACAGATAACATGATTCGTCCCTAACCCTACTTATTCTCAGGCACTGTGGGTTTTAAGATGCCCAAGGGAACTCTGTGAGGGTCACAGCCATTGAGTTGTTTGTGCCTTCACATGGGAGCAGGAGGAGGCCAGGATATGTATCTAGCCTCAGTGGACACTGCTTTTAAATACTCTGATCTTCTCAGCTCTAAGGACCACGTTATTCATTTATTAGCCGTATATGTGTACTTACACCTGAAGCAAACATAATTTTACATTTACACCTGAAGCAAATCTAACGTTACATTAATATAAAAAAGTAGTTTGGTAAAAGCTCATAAATGAGTTTTAAAATCAGAGTCCTGTTTTCATGATTCAGACATCTGTTCTATTATCTGTATCTGTTCAGTACACTGTTCTATTAATGGCCTCTGAGTCAAATGAATACAATTAAGCAAACACAACAAAGTAACATTTTTTAAAGAAGAGGTTGCCAGTTACCATGTAACAAATGCTCGAGTAAAGCCTATACTTGTTGTTTCTAGGTGGATGATTCTGGATTGTTTCATGTAATAAACGTTCCTGTTGAAGGAGATTATAAACTACTCTTAAAAGGACTTCATCTCTGCACTCTTTGTTATGGTAAAATTCATATTCTACTGATGATCATTACTAGAAGTATATTAGAGAAGCAACAATATCTAGTTCAGTTCTGTGTGATGATGAGATTGATAGAGATCAGTAAAAACTGAAAAAAATTGAATTAGGGATTTCCTGGGGTTGTAAACAACTACAGCTGGATAATCTTACCTGTTTTGGTCATTTTCCCCCCTTTTTCTTAATGTTTATTCCATAAGTGGAGTAGTGCATTTTCAAAAGAATACAACATTTTAGCTTGATTTATGAGAACTGATCATCTGCATTACCAATCCTGCCAAGTTTTCTTATGGGAAAATGCTGAAATGCAAACTAGTATTGAAATCCTCCTAAAGTGTTATCTGTTGTATTGCTAAAGAACAGTAGCTATTTTCTCTTTAAATGCTGGCTTAATGTTTTCAATCTGGGATCAGTGCCTGATGCACCATTTGAGAATTTGAGTCATTGCCCAGCTTGGAACATAGTATGTTGTATCCTGAAATCAAGTGTTTAATTACATTAAACAGACTTGCACAACCACCTTCCTTGTGTTTCTACACCCTAAACTACATAACAGATATTCCCTAAAAAAGCTTTTAGTACTCTGACACTGGAAGCTCTGCTTAATACAGCTAGCCTTCTCAGGCTGAAGAAAGGGAGGAAGGGCAGAGCCCTGTCCTGTACTTGCCCTATCCCAAGCTCTACACTTGAAATGTGTAGAGTATAAATGTAGAAACAAGCATCACCTGACCTCTCATTTGTGTCACCATAAAAACTTTTATGGAGGCACAAATGCTGAGCAGATAAACATCGCTACCCTTTTTGCCACATCACATCAAGGGAAAATCAGTGATGAGACAAAAGATAGTAATAGATTTTGGTGCCTTATTGTGGCAGACATCTGTTAGTTCTGTGGTGGGAGAGCAGAGCAGCCTCAGCTGCCTGCACTCTGCAGCCACCCCAAGCAGGTGCTTTGGGGGCTTGAGGGCCTCTTGATCCCCAGAGCACCTACCCAAGTATCTCTTGCTTATACAGAAGAACCCTGGAGAATCTATAAGTGAGAAAATTGGGGTTTCCTTCTTACAGAGACCCACCCCTGATCTCCTGGGATAGTTTCTGTAAGCAGAGAAAGCCTGCACAGGTCCTGGCATGGAGGCATGGGACCTAAGGAATCCATGGTACCTTTTGCTTCTACTGAAGACCCACTTACCCAGACCTGCCCTCAGAATCTCTTGGGACCCATCTGAATAAGGAGGGAAAGCTGGGCTTTCCCTGCTTATGCAGACCCACCCCCCAGAGCTCCCAGGAGCAGGCCTGAGTAAGCAAGGAAGGTATCTGGATTCCCCTGCCTACTCAAACTTGCTCCTGGAAGCTCTGGGGATGGGTCTGAGTAAACGGGGAAACCTAGGCTTGCCCCACTTACCCAGACCCACCTCCAGGATCTCTCTGGATACATCTGGGTAAACGGGGAAAGCTGGGCAGGCATTCTCAGGGCTTAAGGAGCCCTGCCCAGGAATTCCTAAAACATGCAAGACTAGGCCCCTTAAACCGTGGGAGAACACATCACCTCATCATGCCCTGTGAAGGGGTGGGTCAAGGGATGACATGTTTCACCCAATAAAATGAAGCAGCTGTGCTGTGACATGTTGTACTTAATGTGACATACTCCATTTCATTTAGTGATGTCCAAGAGACTTGTTGTGCACCCCCATTGCACCCAAGAACAATCTAGCATTTATCCTTTGGAAATGCATGTCGGACCCTTCAAACAAGGCATCCCCATTCACAGGCAGTGTGAAATTCTAGTGCTTTATTGTAACCAATTGTCATATTTAGCAGGTGTACAGTAAAATACTTCTAATTGTTTTTTAGGGGAATGATGTCTAGTTCCATTGGATCTGAAACAAGGTTCTTTATGCATGCAGCTATTACCTTACCTTTCCTTTTCGTAGGAAGTGATAGTGTTTGACAGATTAACAAATTCTTGAAATCTCACGTATATGACCTTTTTGGCATTGGGACCTAGTTCTATAAGGTACTGACTGCCTATGTCACCTGGTCAGAGTCCTTAGGAGTTTAGTAGATGTACTCCAGTACCCTGGAGGTTTGGTACATGGGGAACATTGTGGAAACAGCCAGTATCCCTTCTTGGAATACTTAGAATAATTAGAATAATTGTTTGAAAATGTTGGCATCTTCTTTTCTTTGAACATCAGTTTTAAAGCAAAATGAAAAGAGGGATTTTCCCCATTTATTTAATTCTCCGGTGTGTACATTGTGTTTCACCCAATAAAGTTTCAGTAGCATATTACTAAAATTTCAGTTTAAATTATTACCAAAATATGCTCACAACTGTGCCCAGAATTATGCATGAACCTTCTGTGACTGCTGCTTTTAGAGACCTCTAAATGTCATCATAAAAAAGCCTTTAAGGTTCCTTGTCCAAGTCATACTGAAGTCAACAGTAGTGTTTCTATTTGTTTCACTAGATCTTAGGCCTGCAGTGAAGCAGAGATTGCCACAAATAATGCCAACGACTTAAAACCAGTAAATAGAAGAGGAAGCAATTTTAATGTAATAAGACCTAGTATTGTGAGTTTCTGAGCCCCTTCTGTGAATCATGCAGCACATTCAATTTCTTTTAACTTCCATGGGACTTAGGATGTTGGTCCTCTTGCAGGGGCCTGCCTTATAGTTTTCTGATTGTAATCATGA